ATTTTTCTTCAGCTCTGAACATAAGAAAAATAAAAATCACCCTGATGTTAAGGAAGAGTGGAAATAAATGTTTGTGTGATGACAAAGTGTACATTCTATGCAATAATGCTCAGACAAGTCCCCCATCCTCAATCTATAATACGATGCTGAAATATTAGCTAGATGCTCGTATAAATATAAAATCGAGACTGGACTGAATTGCAAGTGTGAGAGAGACTTTTATGTAGCTTTCTTCTTCGTTTTCATTACAAATTAAATGGGCCTGTTCAGAAAACTCAAGGGAGGCTTGAGATCAGAGGTGTGAAAGGAACAGAACACAGAATAAATAATCCACCCTTAGCAGAAATGTAAGGTCCACAGAGTGCACGGATATTTTCTTCCCCCTCCAGATAGGCTGATGTGAATCGGGTAACCATGTATACAGCCAGCCACAATCCTGCAATCATAGCAACATGCCCCTGCCAGTGCCACAATCACAGGAATTGCTGCTAGTTGTATTCAGGGTCAACTAGGCAGGACAAAAAAATCCATAGCCAGGAATGGTGGGATTAGGGTTGAACAAATCTTTCTCGTTTCCATTCCATGTCCTTTCCCAATCTTCTGTGCTGTTCCTGCATTAATCTCAGAGTGCTTTGTTTTAGTAGTCTCAAGAAGGCATGTTCTAATTTACATCCAAGTGCATATTTCAAAATAATATGTAAAATACAATACGATGCTGAGAACTGTGTCACAACATTCGGAGTAGCACATCATCTGCCACCTTCTGATCTGAAAATTAGTCCGAGACGTGTGGATCAGTATTTTCATGTATAGCATTCACAAAGGTCGGATTCCTCAAGCGCTACTAGGTGGGGCTGCTCACATGGAAAAGGAAATGCCATGTGTGAAGTAGCCCTAGGAGAAGGCAGAATCGCCTCCTTCAGCCACACCAGGGTGAAGGCCATCAGTTCCCAAGGCTACTCTGCTACATCAGGTGTGCATTGATAGGCGCCTATTGGCATCATTCATTGCAGTATGGCCAATTCATTGCAACAGTGAGAAAGACAGTGCTGAGAACTTTGACAGCTAGTGTGGCGCAGTGGTTAGAGTGCTGGACTAAGACCTGGAAGAGCAGAGTTCTGGTCCCCCCTCAGCCATGAAGCTCAGTAGGTGACCTGGGTCTTGTTGTGGTCTCTCAGCCTGACCTACCTCACAGGGTTGTTGTGAGGATAAAATGGGGAGATGGGGAACCTTGAGCTCCTTGGAGGAAAGGCAGGATATAAACGTAATAAAGAAATAAAATATAAATCAATTGGTTTGCAAAACTGCCCAGCTTAAGTAAAAGCGGAAGGATCACCATCAGTTACTGTTACTACTCAATTTATGTGAACAGGCAAACATCACTTTCCTGCCCAGAGTCCCTGGCATCCCAGTCTCACTCTTCCTCTTTAAAACAGAAAACCAAATTTATTTAAAATTATTTACACTTAAATTTATATCCCCTCCTCGTATATCTAAACAGTGTTTTGTTTAAAAAGTGGATATGTACTCATTTAGTTTAAGCGCTACTGGAATGTAGTTCTTTGTGGCTGCAAGTCGAAGCCCAAGCTGGAATGCAAACTGCTTCCATTCAGTTGTTTATCCAATTTCATTTTCATCCAACCAGTAGCAAGCTCATTCTCCCCGTGCTGGTCATTAGGCAGTCAGAATGGCACCACCCATGCACAAGAGGGCTGCTACGAGCGAGCTCAAGGGAATCCTATTCACCACCTTCGAGCATCTTCCTGACATGTTCCCCCATTCAGTGGAGGAGGCTCCTGTGGTGCTGTGGACCTTTCTGTTCAGCATCTGATCATCACTCTGCAAGGGCAGATCCCCAGACCACAGCCCAGCAGTAGGCTGCCCTTGTCATGCAAGGTGGAATCACCAAGTTATGGTCAAGTCTAGATTGGGTTCTGACAATATGAACCGCCATTTTCTTCTCCTTTCAACAAAGTCTCCTGATTTACTTCCTCCTCTGAAAACTTTCGTAGAATTTGGTGTCCTTCTCTGGATATAGATTTCAGAGTTTTAAAAAAACAATTTTGTGAAGGACTACTCTTTTGTGTGTGCTTTATTTATAATAAGATCCTAATCATTTCTTTAATAGAAGTGCTACATCAAGCTCAGGAATGGGGATTGGCCCTCAAGGCAGTGTTGGACTCCAACTCCCATCATTCCTGACCACTGCCCATGCTGGCTGGGAGGCTGATGGGAGTTGGAGTCCAACAACATCTGGAGGGCTACACCTGAGCTGGATGTAGCACTTCTATTAAAGAAATTAATAAGACCCACCACAAGTGGTTGGCAAGGAGTAATCTTTCCGATTCCCTGTTTCCATGGCAATCTATAAAAAAGCTAGAGTGGAGCCAAACCGGGCCACTGAATTTTGAGAACGTTTTTTGTGCATCTTTCAAATGCTCATTTTTGGCAAATTTTCAGAGGGTGCTTGAAAAGTTAGGGAAGTGTTTAGGGAAGGGGAAGGGGAAAGTAGCCATGTTGCCTTGGCAACCGAGGCAATGAAATGAAGGTAATGCAGCAAAGCAAAGAGTATTAGCTTGGGGCACTCAAGTGCAGAGAAGTTGAGCTGGTGTTTTAAGTGGGTAGCAGGAATGTGCCCACAAGTCACATCTCTCCCAAGCCATCCTGCACCCTGGCGACCCCCTGGCAGCCATGTATTTGGCAGAGGAAAGTGGCAAAAGGCTGAATATGCATCTGCCTCCTTTGCCCAGTCAGAACTGTTGGGCTGCATGCACAGCATATATTGATGGCACACTCCAGCTACAAAGAATCAGGGGAACTATCATTTCCACTCACAAAGTTACAATTCCTAGCAGTTCCCAGGATTCCTTGGGTGCTTTAAATGTAAGGTGTGTTGAGAGTTTGCTAAATATAGTGCAGCGGTGTACAGAAAGAGTCTGGTAAGAGCCAGTGTAGTGTAGTGGTTAAGAGCGGTAGTCTCGTAATCTGGTGAACCGGGTTCGCGTCTCCGCTCCTCCACATGCAGCTGCTGGGTGACCTTGGGCCAGTCACACTTCTTTGAAGTCTCTCAGCCCCACTCACCTCACAGAGTGTCTGTTGTGGGGGAGGAAGGGAAAGGAGAATGTTAGCCACTTTGAGACCCCTTCGTGTAGTGATAAAGTGGGATATAAAATCCAAACTACTACTACTACTACTACTACTCCTCCTCCTCCTCCTCTTCTTCTTCTACTTTTCTGGTTGGAAGGATAAAGAAACATGAGGTTTCTCAGCAAACAAAGCCATTCTGAGTACAGTGGTACCTTGGAAGTCGAACGGAATCCGTTCCGAAAGTCCGTTCGACTTCCAAAACATTTGGAAACCAAAACGTGGCTTTTGATTGGCTGCGGGAAACTCCTGCAGCCAATCAGAAGCCACACCGGATGTTCGGCTTCCGAAAATCGTTTGAAAACCGGAACACTTACTTCCAGTTTTCAGTCGTTTGGGAGCCAAAACGTAGGAGTTCCAAGGTGTTCAGCAACCAAGGTACAACTGTATAGGCTTGTTCTGCTTGCAGCTGATATGGAGGCATGAGGACATACTATCTCCTACTGTAACTGGCTGGAACTGACTGGGAGAAAAAGCAGGAAGGAAGTAAAAGCCAGAAAAGTAGTTACTATGAGAGAAGGGATCAGTGAGGAGGAAAAACAGGTTCTCTTTTTGTCTATTGCCCCTGACTGGTTCAGGTAACTTACTGCAAGTGCTGTTGCTTTACTCCCAGCATGTTGTGTACAAAGTCTCGATCAGCTAGACTCCCTAGACTGGTAGAGGAGCTATGTGTACATAAGACCCATTTTGCATTAACACTGAATATGTGCAGCCACTGGTGGTATGGCCGGTAAGCACATTCCCCTTAGTCCCCCACATTAATTGACCTGCAGGGGGCAATTTGGTGAACACCTCTATGGTCTCTCCATTGATCTCAGTGGGGTATATGCTTGAATGGACATTCTGATACACATCTAGTGTGCATTCTGGAACAACTAGAGCTACATCACGACTTAAGAACTAGGACAATATGTGGCCCCTTTTTTTGCCTTTACTGGTAAAATTCCATTGGCTATGAAACTTTGTGCATCGCCAGGTTCACTAAATGTGGCCCAATATTCTTAGGATCATGTAATAAAAGAGAAAGGAATGGCCCTGTTAAGTTTTTTAGTGTGTTTTTTTAAGCTTTACCAAAGTTGCAGAATGAGGAATACAAGCTTTGAACAAGTAGTACAAGTTCATTTTGCACCCCTTGAAAGGACACTGTTTTGCCTTGGAAATGAGGTAGAAATCCAACACAGCCTGATGAAATTCTGCAATTACCTGCACTTCCTGAAAACAAACTGAATATTTTTGTTTGTTTGATCCAACAAGCTTTCTCAATTGAATGAATAGGTCTCTGCTGTGGGTGTCCATTTTGTATTGCTTTTAAAATTCCACTTCTGTTGTTTTTAACTATATTTGACCATTTTCACTATATTTTGTTCATCACCTTGTGATATAGGTGTAGAATGCAATTAACAACAACAACCAGATAGCTTTCCTTTTATTGGTCTTCTTTGAATGGTCAATGATAACCGTGACAGCTGTGCAAGGACCACTCTGTGCTGAATTACCATGGCACAGATCATTCTAGCGGTGTAGCCTTTTGATTTCCTCTTTCATAATACAATAGGGTCCCCACATTTAATCTTGAATGTGGGAACCCATTGCAAGAAGACTGTTCTGCTGTTGTTCTCAATCTGCCTGATCAGAGCTTTCCCATTCTCCTATATGGAAATATTAAGGCTGACAGACACTCATTCTATCACTCTCACATCATGGATTCCATTCAGATCTATCTGCAATGTAACCCATTCCTTTGAGGAAATCAGTCTGAATTAGCAAAAGGCATTCATTTATGTATGCAGGAACCAGTGCAATGAATGCTGATAATGAAGTATGGATTCATTCCTGGCAAACTTTGACAGAATGTTGTCTGGGTAATATTATTTATTGTTATCACTACAAAGGACAGATGTGACCCTCGGTCTCATGAAGTTCAAGGCAACAAACATGGTTCTCTGTGAAAAAAGGGGTATCTACACATAAGAACAGGAAATACAGTACACAGAAAGCTGCTGAAATCATACCACCATTCATATAATTTATTAACACATTTTAGCACACCCCGAAATGACATTGAAATAGGATAACAGACACATAAATTAAGGGTTGTGTTGAATATATTGGGTTATGCTTGTTGAATCATCTGAAATTCACTGTAACCCTATATTTTCCTAATATAGTCCAGTGATTCACTATCACCATTTAAATTACCTTCTATGTCAAAGAGAAATGATTTCCTATTTTAGACCTGATGGCTGCTTTTGAGTAGATCTCATTTTTATCCTTTTGTCCCTTCTTCTTTAGCCAGACATTGGCCAAATACAGGGAATGAACCGATTCACACAGAACACAAACCTCCCTTGGTCCTCCTGTTGGCCACACAGCTTGCAGCTAAGCTATGGTGTGCCTTCCTAATTCAGGCTCATGGTACGTCTCCTCCAGACAAAGCATGAGCTGTAAACCCAAGAACAAACCTTGGTCACAGCTCATCCTTGTCTGGAACAAGACAAACCATGTGGTAAAATGCTAAGCCTAACCATGGCTTAGCTCACAGCAACACAGCAACAAGAACTTCAGGAAGAGCGAAGTAGCCACAATATCCTTCCCAAGGAGTGTATGCGTTCAAGCTATGCCTTCGTTCTCTTAGCATTACATGTCAACCAGCTCAGTATCAGTTGCACTAAAGCCCAAAGGAAATCAATGGGACATGTTAGCCAAGGGTCAAACTAGATACGATGTTAACTGCATCCAAGGAGTTAATGTGCACCTTTTAAACAATTTAAATAGCTGCCATGTCTTGGGTGGGTGGGTCATTGAGCTAGGTTCAGAACAGGATGCAAAAGGGGCGGTTGTTTCAATTCCACCCCAGGCCCACCACAGTTCTGACAAAAATCTTTAAATGGAAACTTCCATCCCAGGGAAGCACTGGGGATGATTTCTTCCAGGCCTGCGGTGTTGGTGAGTCCTAATTCTGTTCCCTCTGCAGCAGCTAATTAAATTTTTGAAGCATGCACTTTAATTTCTTTACACACAATTAAGATCTTTTTTCGCACTATGGTTATAAGTCTAAGCATACTTACCTGGGAGTAAATCTGGACACCCTTTTGAGTAAACCATGCTGCATCTTCTCATCTGAGACAAGCTTGGCTAACCTTTTGTGCATTGGAGCCAGCCCAGAATATTTCGCACCTTGCAGTGGCAAGCATCTTCACAACCATAATCCTTTGCTTGGAAAACATTAACAACCCTGCAAAATACATTCTGTGTCATAGTCCCTTCCTGAATATTCATAGCACTAGGAAACTGGTATATCTAAACCGCTGCAAGTTTATTTCCCATTTGTGCCTCCAAACCATGGACAGGTTGGCAAAGCATAGACTTCCAAGAAAGCTTATATAATATAAATCTAGTGGTGTCTACACTTCCCATGATTCTCAACAACAGGAAGAGGAGCAAGTTGCAAAGGAAGTGAGCAAAAAAGGGGGCTGAGGTGGAATGTGCAAAAAATAAACTAAAGCTGTGTTGTTACCCTTCCTATTTTGTCTTCCTGGTCAGAAACAAGTTGTTAAAGAACTGTAACCAAGTGATCTTTATAATTTACATTAACTGATAAAGATGAAAGGTTGCACAGACTTATATCCAATGCAGCATTAAGCAACTGTCCCATCCCCACAAGGAGTTCTACTTGCATAATGGGACTTTCCCTGCTTTCCTCCCCCTGTGCACCCCCTAAATCTGATCTGGGGTGTCCCTCAAATCTCCAGAGCAGACCTGAGGAAGGTGGGAGGGGAAGTCTAATTACACAAATGGAAATCCTCGTGCTGAGGGGGATGATGGCTACTTAGCATTGCATTGGATACAGGCCTCAGCCTCCAGTTCCCATCTACAGTTTCTTCTGTTGCCACAGCTTTTCAATTATTTCTCCTTGCAAGGGAAATATTGATACCCAGGGTGAAATTTTGCCTGCTCTTGTTGAAAGGTTTATAAAAGGGGGTGCAAGAACAACTAACAGGGACAGTTGGCAAAGTCATCGAGTTGGCAGGACAAGTAGAGCGAGCCCCTCACAATAAGGCACACCTGAGAGGGACCTCCCTCGCCATTTCAGTCATGCATCAAACTGCTTATTGCCTATGCAATCTTGTCATCTTCTCTTCCCCCCACCCCCAAACAAAGAAAATGGTTTATTTGTACACAATGATCATCGGTTCAGCTGAAGAAAAGAAAAGGCGATCAAAAGAGATGTCACTGTATTCCGCTGAAGTACATTTAATACAATATACCAAGCTCATTGACTTTCTTTACAGTATCCCCTTCCCAAGAAGACCCTGTGTGTTTCCTGAGCCCATCACATTCTCCTTGCAGCGTCTTCAACGCTGTTCCTTGCGCAGCAGTGCCTTATTCATTATATGACTGTTTCATCTGCATCCAGTCATAAGTCATGGCTCTTTTTTCTTGAGTAATCAGAGCTCCTCCTGTTCAAAGAAATAAAAACCACAGAAATATATCAAGATGAATGTTCTTTAACTTATAATCATAGCATACAGAAGAAGATTCCCTGTCCCTTCAGAGAGTCCTATGACATGTCAAGGATGGGCATGACAGGTCATAGGAGACTTTTAGGAACCGGCCCTTTGAAAGATGGAGGTCAAGTATGATACAGACAGAATTTGGTTGGTTCGGAAAGCAAGGTGGCATCAACAGGAAGCCTTCTCAGAATTGTTCAAGAACAAGTGAAGTGATCTAAAGGTTAAATGGATAGGTGAGAGACCAGTGCTTAGGAGACAGCTATCACTGCAGGTTCTGATCAGAAGTTCCCACTTGATGGATGCGTCCTTTCCTGATTGATTTCTGGGAGGCTGGGGACAATCACAACACAACACAAGTGGGGGTTATTTGTCTAAGGTGAAAATCAGTCAATAGGGGTTTTCTGAGTGATGACTGCAAGGGAAAAAGGGAGGAGGAAGGACAGAGGATAGAGCTGTGATGCTCCTAACTCACCCTGCCAAACATCAGCTCAGAAATGTTGCAGGCCTCTACTTATCAATGGTCTCAACCCCCACGCAAACGGGGAGTTGCCTGTATATGTGTGTGTGTATATGTGTGTATATATATATATATATATTCTGGTCTCTTTGTCACAATTTTATGTGACCAAGACACAGAACTTAGCTGAGGGGCTAGGACACTGATGAGGTAGGATTCTATAGGTGTCTTGGATAACAGAGGTTCCTAGGAATTTTTGTAAAATGAAAACAAGAAAGCAGACTACAGACTGAGACAAAGTTATGGAGAAAGGAAGCAAAATTGCTTAGAAACAATCTCCCCAAATCAGGCTTAAATCCAAAATATGTTGACTTAATTGAATTTACAGATGTTTCCTAGTCCTCCTTCCCCCAGGACACACACACACACACACAGAAAGAGAGAGAGAGAGAGAGAGAGAGAGAGAGAGTTATTATTCAGAAGGACTTTTCAGTGGCTGGGGGCAGGGTAAAATCAGATTCAGAGAGGAGAAGGAAATGGGAAACTTTCTTTCTGTGAATTTCAAGTTAATTTGCCTTAAGATCCACACCTCTCATTGCTTCATAGCATGTCATTAATGATCAATAGATTAAGCCTTAACCTATTCAATGTGTCTTATTACGTGTCTTATTAGAAACACTCTCCTTCCACGAACTTCCTTAAATGTATCTTTGGATGCAACCCAGGAATTCCAACTGTGTGTTTGCCCTGTAACGGTAGTGAAAGAATTACCTTTTTCAGAGTAAAATGAGTGGGATTCGCTACCTCTATATTCAACATTATAAGCAGAAATACAAAGAAATACATAAGTAAAACCAAAGAACACATGAATAAAACATTCTGTGAAATATCAATAAATAATAAAATAGAGCTATGTGATCAATCTTATGAGCCACAGAAACCTTCTGAAATAGATGGGTCTTCAGGAGATGTTTAATACTTTCCATTAAACCTGTTTTTCCTCCAACTGTACTCCAAGAATAGAAATACACTGATTTTTGGGTGGAATAAACATCCCAAGATGGGCATTTATTTAGGGAAAACAGTGGTCCTGGAAGCACCTCCTCTTTGCTAATTGCCCTGCTCCTATGCTAAGCTCGACAGTCACACGTTTGGAAACATGGGCTTGCTTGTGGCAACATGGAATTCAGCTTTCTGGAAGGTTCCTGTATGGAAAGATTTCTAGCTAGGTTTGCGAGAAGAAAGACTTCCTCCCACTGAAACTAAGTGCCAACACAGAGGTGTTGAAAATTATTCTTGTTCATCTAATAATAGCATGCAAATAGTGCCCAACAATTGTGGGTAGAGCTCAAAAGACATTTAAGGCTGTGGTCCAAAACATGTTTGCAAGGGATGGAGTAAGTCCCACCAGACACAGTGAAACTTTCTTCTGAGAAAATGAGCACTGAGGACTTATCCACACTTCTTGTCTTACTGCTTTCCCCCAGGGAAAACTGCTCTTTGCTGCTCAGTCAGAGCAAACAGCAATTCAGGTTTCCCCCAGATTGCCATTTGTTCTGCTCTATCACGAAAGAGCAGCTTTTCCCTTGGAAAGGTGTAGGGCAAGGGGAAAACCTCTTGGACAAGCCCTTAGTTGCATTACAAGGCACTTAGGAACTGGAAGTACTTTTCTAGCTCTGTTTACTGACATACGTAAAGCAACACTGTCACAATAGTGAAAGAAGACAAAGGCCAAATCCTGCCACTTTCTCCAGCGCTGGTTAAAAAGCAAACCCAAGATTGGGCTGAGTCAATATGGAGGAGTATTTGCAGTTTCATGTGCAAAAATATTTTGCACATAGAATCCTCCCCCCCCCCATATGCAACAGAGGGGTATTTGTCCTCAAGGCTACCAAGTATTCTGTCATTCAAGCCTACCAACGGTCCTTTGAAGGTGGAATTCATTTCTCTCTGCTTACTTTTTCGAGGAAACAGAGGAGATGGCATGCATTCTTTGACAGAGGGCAAGTGTTTCACTGCCCAACGCCCAGCCACTTGGATGTACAGAGATTCAGGATTTAGCCCTAAGGGTAGAACTACATGCTACACAGAAAATGGGGCTTCCTTTTCTCTCCATAAACATCTGGTTTAACATGTGCTGTGCCCACGAAGTCATTACAAAGTGCATTTCCTTCCATCAGCGGGTAAGTTTTGAGTGGGCTGGAGAAATGCACACTGCAATGATGTAGGGATATGGGTTAAGTTGAGTGAAATGTTAAAGCCAGAGGATGGAGGATGGGGACAAGAGTCAACCCAGGGATGGTGTGTTCAGCAGCAGCTCCATGTTCTTTGTAGTAGGGTGTAGTTTTGCCCTAAAGAACACAAACAAGCAGGCATATCAGCAGGGGAAAAACCCCATTGCATACACACAGTATGTTCTTTGGTACACCCATCAGTCTAAGCATCATACTCTGGTGGGGAAGGGCAGGAGGTGATACACAACCAAGCACATTGAAGGGTGAAGATTTGCAACAAACGTCAGAATACGATGCACGCAGGGTTTGGCTTTCATTTTATTAGAAAATAGGCAAGCTTAAGTTTTGAAATCAAAACGAAAATAGGCATTAGAAATGAAATTAACTAACCATGTGGTTTTATCCAAGGTCAAAACTAGTTTCAGAAGGAAGGAATAATAAATAATAAAGGTCAGTAAATGAAACAAGACAAAATGAACCAAAAAGTACTCTTTTTTTTACCGTTTTATGTTAAGAATGACTGACCATCAGTAAGAACCATATGTTTGCCTGTTAGAAATTGAAATATGTTCTTATACAAAGCTTATCATTCCAGAAAGAACAAGCAGTGCAGTTAGGTAACTTTGCATTACTTTACTTACTACTGAAAATGTGGTATAAGCCAGCCCTGCTGCCTTGGGAGCCTTGGAAATTTGCCCCAAAGTCTTCCCCTGATGGTACCATTAGCTGGAACAGGATTCCTGGCCTACTCTAGATCTCTTACAGCTCTACGCATGTTTACTTAGAAGCAAAGTCTCACGGAGGCTGCCAGCTTATGCAGCCTTACTTATTTTCCAAGTAAAACCTCCTTAGGGTTGGGCTGCAAGTTCAGTGGGGCTTACTCCCAAGTAATGCATGCAAATGACTGCAATCTTTTACAAAGGACAGAAGCTGTCCCCTTGGGAAAGCCCTGGTCAGCGACCCAGGCCTGAGCCCAGCAGAATCAAACAGAGGAGGAGCCAAGGCTGTGACAGCCTCAGGAAGGCAGCAGCTGTAGGTTACAAGCAGAACATTCTGGATGTAAGGCTGAGAAATTTAAAAAGAGGCCACTGCAAATCTGGAAGAACGGGCCTTTCCCAAAACTACATGGGCAGCGGGGGAATCCCTCAGCTGCAGTTCTTCTGCACACCAGGATTGTCCACGTTTCCAAAAGAAATGATAGAAGGAGCTGCAATGTGGGCTGAGATTCTTTTTCATACAGCATAGGTTATTTAGTTTCCCTACTTTCCCCAAACTATCTTTGAAATAAACAATTTGGCTTGTTTACCCAAAGAGCCAAAGCATGAACTCCGCAGGATAGTAGGCCCTGATAAATCCTACCTTTAGGACCCACAATGAATTTTGAAGCACGGCAGGAGTCATTTAGCATTTTTAAAAAGAAAACAACCACCACAGTCTTCCCCCTTTCCTGCCAACAAGTGCCTCTGATAAAGCAACAGCTTCATCCATTTAATAAGCAAATCCTCAGCTCAGCAACTGCCTGCAGCAGATTTATTTCAAATCATTTGGCACGTCTCTTACCCTGAACAAATATGGAACACCATCTGTGGAGTGGAAAATCAAAAGCTATGCTTGCATGTGGTCTAAACAGCAATGTAAACAAATAGGTGAAGATACTTTGAAAAATGAACGTTAAGAATTTCACCAGCATCCCCACTTGCGTCTACATACTTTCCAGGTGATCTTCCTCCATGATGCTAAGTTTTAGGGTGGTCTCAAATAACCCAGTGGCAGGGTGGAGGTTTTTTTTAATCTTCAATTTTATGGCATGGGTAGGAAACCTTCAGCCTGTAGGGGCCTCTGTCTGGCACCCAGGACTCTCCCAAGGCCATTCCCCACTTCCTGGCCCTGCTCCACACCTTCCTCGATTGCTTTCGCCTGGTTGGAATGTTTTCCTGAACTGTGATAATGGTTCCTGCTTAACTGGAAGGAAATATGGAGGGGTGTGTGTGTAGAAACCTCTGGCTTTTGTACAGCTGGACTAGAGCCTACTGTGCAAGGGTAAGAGTCGCATCCATTGCTTCGCTCCTCTCTGCCTCTGACCCTACCCGCCACTCACATACAGAGCCCGGATGGTTGCTCACAAGGAAATGTGGTCAATGCACTGGAAAAGGTCCCAGAACCCTAGTTTTATGGTGTACTTCTCCCTGGTATCACTGCAGACGAAGGGTGGGCTAGAAACCCTTATTAATAATAAGCGCACCAATAGATCACTGCTGAGGCGCACACCCAGGACTTTTGGTGACATCACAAAAGCACAAAGCAGGTGAGTGAATACAAAGGTGAGCCAAGCGAAAGGTCTGTTGATTTAAAGTCCTCTTCCTCACCAGGACACAGCGGGGACCCCGCTGTGGCATGCCTCATTGCCTGGTCTTCTTCCATGTGCAGGAAGCGAGTGGGCAAATGGAAGGTGGTGGTCATCTGGCTACAGAGTGATATAATAAGGCAAATTTGCTTGCTGAGTGGGATTGCAAACAAGTGGGGGCATGGGAAGGTGGCTGATATCCACGGTAGGAAGCTGGCCGATGTCTGGTGAGGGACCCAGCAGAAGCTGGCATGTGTTGGTGGATGGAAGCCAATGGAGTTCACATTCAGAAGTTGCTAGGTGCCGTAAGGTGGAAGCAGGCTGATATTTGCTTGGTTGAAGCTCATCTTCAGAAGTCCGTTGACAGAAGCCAGTGGTTATTTGTGAGTCAAAGCCAGAGTACTAATGTGAATGAGTGGAGCATGAAAGATGAGTGCATGAGTCCGTTGGCATTCTTCATGAAGTCAGCTGGCATGTGTTTGTTTGTGTGTGTGTTGAGGCAAATCATGCGTGTATGTGCTCGAAGGTGATGTGTGGAAGGAAAGTGGTGGATATTCATGAACAGATGAAACCTGTGGACGTTGGCAGGCTGAGTTTAGTGGCTGAAATTGCCAGGCAGAAGGCAGCAGGAGTGCCCGGGGGATGCTGCTGGATGGTAGACATGCCACTCATTGTCCCCGGGATCCCCCACCCGCACCCCGCTTTCTAGGGATGGCCAAAGCCAATGAGGTTTTCTGAAGACCACTCATGAAAGCAATGCAGAGAAACTGCATGTCTTAAGGAAACCAACTTGTATTTCTAAATAGACATCCTTCTAAATACATATTAGTGTTTGAAATATTTATTAACCACCCTTCATCAAAATATTCCAGAGCAGTGCACAAAAGTATAAAATAAAATAAAACTAATGCAATAAAACAACAGTAAATAAATATATCAAAATATCACAATGCAAAAGCAAATCCCCCTGCCCCACACCCCCAAGAAACCCTACCTGGGCAAAACATAAAACAAAAATGATCTGAAAGCAACAACCCTGACATCACTCCTGCCATTGTTTATCATGTTCTGGTGCCTAGTATTACTTTCACTTGATAGCTTTCATGCCCCCAATAAAGGAGAGAGGGAGAGCACAATAACTTCCTTTCTTCAGAATGATGGCTGAGTGAGAGAGCACACAGGGCCAATTTTCCTACAAAGAAGCAGATGCTCTCAGCAAAGTCCTGCCAATAGACCACCTGAGCAAACACCTGAACAGATCACACAGGCCTCATTCCCACTAACAGCAGAGGAGGGAGACATCCTGTTCCTTATCTACGCAACGTGGACAGAGGGCTGTGCAGAGAAGTTGGTATGTGCAGTCAGGCTTTTGAGACCACTGTGCTACTGAACAGATTGTCCCCCAAATGCAGGGTAGCACCAGAAATAGCCCAGCAGAGTACCAAGTTCTGCTGCCAAAAGGAAAAGAAAGAGAGAGAGAAAATGATATCCTAGTGCAGGGGTAAGCCAGCGTCATAGCTTCAGATTTTTTGGACAACAACTCCCATCAGCCCTGAGTAGTATGGCCAATAATCAAGGATGGTGGGAGTTGTAGTCAGCAGCACTGGCTATCTATGCACTACTGCAAGTGGGAATGTTTTGATACATGCCTAAAAGGGCCCACTGGATCACATCATATACAATAGGACTGTGGAACCTGTGGCCCTCCTGCTGAACTCCAACTCCCATCATCGGTTACTATTGGCCATGCTGCCTGGGGCTGATGGGAGTTGGAGTCTATCGCCATCTGGCGGACCAAAAGTTCCTCACTCCAGTTATACAATTCACCCTGTTGTCTATGTTTGTCGTTCCAGTGATTTCAAATAATAGTAATGTACCAAAGCTCTCAAGATAGCACTGCTTCTTTTTGTTAGTTTCTCAACTTCAATAGAGGATCAGCAAGGATTTTGGTCAAGGTCCCAGTGTTCAAAGATGCATTTTTTGCAACAGTTAGCCTCAGCGGACCCTGCAATCCCAAATCCACTTATTGTTCTATAAAAAGTCTTTGGGACTGACTCAAAGCAAATAATGTTGAGATTCTGCTCATAGGCTGTGATCAGCAAAACTATTGTTTATTTGGGGTCCATCTGTCCTACGAAACTCTTATGCTTTCTAAACGCATTGTCAAGCTAAACTTCAAGAAACAGTGAGAAATAAGCCTAGAAGACATCAAGCAGGCATGCACCTAATCATTTGGACAAAATGCTCCATGGATCATTCACCAGATTTTGCTGGTAATCTGAGGAGTGCAGGAAATAACAATGGGAGCCAATCAATGGCAGCATCCAATCACAAAGCAGAGCTTTAAAAACAACAGCTATGTGCCCACAGCTATTAGGCCTAATGGCTAGTTTGTGGTTATGCTCTCCTGCGGAAAAAAAGTATAAGCAGCTACCAAGTTTGGAGTAACACAGTTTTGTATAGGTACACACTAGAAGATCTTTAGACAGAAATCCTAAATTAAGATGCTCACTATCTTTAAAAACAACAACAACAACCCACCCTCTTCACATACAACTGCTTTCATACAAAGAATTTTGGTACTTGGGTATCCAACTACTATGATGATGCTAAGCACTCACACATGAACTTATTTAGTTGTTATTCTGTCTTTCTGGGGCAACTGTAGTTGGTAGAAAAGGGAACTCTAATTCTTAGCATTCTCTCCAGATTCTTGAGGGGAAAGCCACAACAAACTGGGATAAGACTGACAGAAATCTTCAACTAAAAAAGAATAATCTGCAATCAGACACAATCATTCTTATCTGTATTTGGTGTTACTTGGAAGAGAAAGCTTACACAAAGAACCAGCAAATAAGTGTAATAAAAGGCAAAATGACCTTACAGAACAAACTCTGGCTTTTCAGCAAGCTTCAGGGCCTCGTGCATGCCTGCGGCCGATAGCTTACGGTTGATATTCCTATATCTGCATTGCAGCAGATTGCGATAGGTTGTCCTCAGGTCCCGATTGAAGAAGGCATATATAAAGGGGTTGATGAGAGAGTTTGCATAACCCAACCAGAGAAATGTCCTCTCAACCCACAGGGGGATACAACTGCAAGACGTCCCGCAGATAAAGGGTCTGGCGGTGGAAAGTATGAAAAACGGCAGCCAGCACACCGTAAATGCCCCGACAACAATCCCCAGGGTGGTGGCAGCTTTCTGCTCCCTCTTGAAGATGGAGATGTTCTTCCGCTCGTGCTTAAGCAGCCGCGAAAAATTTGTGCACTCTTCCGATTCCTTGTGCAGTTTCGCGATGCCGTTCGCCGAAACGATCCCTTCGTTTTCTTCAGGGCGGGGGAAACCGGCAAACTTATGTTTGGCCGCACTCTTCTTGGCGGCTTTGAAGATCTGGTAGTACATGAAAAGCATCACGGACATGGGAATGTAAAACGCCACCGCCGTGGAATAAATGGTGTAACCAAAGTCTTGGCTGATGAGGCAAACTTTGTCGTCGTTGATATTCTGAGCCCAGCCAAAGAGGGGTGGCAAAGTAATTGAAGCCGACAGCAGCCACACGCTCAGGATCATTTTAGCCATACACTTCCCATTTTGCCTTACGGGATAGGTGAGAGGCCTGGTGATTCCAAGGTACCTAGAAAGCAGAGAGAAAGCAGAGTTAGTGTGCCTTTCATTAGTTACAAAGTTTGCGGGCAAAACCGCTACTGTTGTAACTTGCAGCAGGGAGCCCCGCAGGCTAAACTGTAGCTAGTAATAAGAATTTGACCTGCAAACAAAAGATGAAACAAGGTGTTTGCATTTCATACAGGCATGGATCTTTAAAACACCCAATTTCTAGGGTAACTAGCAAGCAGGAGAGTAAAAGGTAATGCATGCACCAACCAGATTTTATTCTCTCTCTCTCAAACACACACATGAAACAATTCCAGTTTTTGGTTTCTTTTGCGCAGCTTTATAAGTGTGCTTTACAGCAACCCATCTTCAGGGGTTTGGCCTAATGGGAGTTGGGAGTTGCATGATGGGAAATGCCAAAATAGGACTGCAACTGTCCAGTACTGTACACAGCTCCATACTGGTTGGCCTTTAGGTCAAAGGATCGAGAGAAAGGCTTCCACAATATAAAAACAGGCTGAACACTGTAGCAAGTGTGAGCATACATAAATGCTGTCTTTTCTCATTTCTACTCAGAGGCTGATTGTCTTCATGGTCAGAGCCAAACTAGACATTCAATGGGCAGGTATTTTTTTTAAAGAAAATGAAGATAGCATGCACTGGGAAGGATGATGATTACCAGGTTCAAAGCAAACATGGGCACAGGGTGGGAAAATACAGACCTTTTCTTCCCTGCCCTTGTCCCGAGGATAATCCTCCTTTGAAACTGGTTTTGCCTGGGGGGGGGGGGAATCTGCATTGGCACCAATAACTATTATTTTAGGCTCTACAGAGAGGGCTTCAGGATAGTGGTGGCCAGTAGTAGCCATTGGGACTGGTAAGGTGATTGGGAGGGAGGCCAAGAGGAGGTGGAGCCATAGTGACTGACAGGCAACATTTGTTCCCGTCCTTCTTCCTGCTAAGATAGACAAGGACAAAGCTGAGATTAAAGACAGCCAAGTGCCACTCCTGCCGCTCCTTAGAAAAGTTGAAAGTAAGAAGGAAGGAAGGCGGTTGGGGGCTGGCTGAGGCTGGTGGGGCAATGCCAGATTCTCCCTGATGGATCAGTCTCCACTGGTTTTGATTCAGGAACAAAGATTGGGTCCGGTTTTCATTCCAAGTTTGGTTTGAGTTCATTCTCCCTAATGCTTCTGTGGGCTCCACCACCACCACCACCAAACATTTCAAACCTTGCCTTTAAAAATTTGCATGTGGGTGGAGCGGGGGTTGGGGTGTGATTCTTCAAAGCAGAATAAAGCAACAGCTTCAATGAAAATGTTAGTCTTTGGTATTTATAAATGTTCTAAATGCGGCAAAATCAATTTCAAAGAGAGTTAAATGTTTTCGTTCTGCTTAAATGAATAAAGGCATTTCGCAGCATTATTGAGTCGCGCTTCTTACGGGGACTATTTTGGAACGCGCAGATTTCTTCCACGGTTTGTTTAGCTTACAATGACTTGAAACAAAGGAGCATTCCGTGGTCATTTCACTGCATGAAAGGGCTGCTTGCTTTAATTCTCATATCAATGGTTTCTATGTTAAATAAAATGTGTCCAAGTGTTTTTAGATTCCATCCCACCCACAGGATTAAAAAGAAGCTTTACAAGATGGAAGAATTCATGAAGCTAACACCATTTATAATGCTACTCAGCATCGGGTGGGTAACCTGGCATCTTCCATCTACAACTACAAATCCCATAATCTCTGGCTGTTGTTCATGTTGGCTGGCGCTGATGGGAGTTGGAGTCCAACAGTATCTGAAAAGCCACAGGTAAGCCCTTCCCTGCTGTTAAGGAACAGGCAGCTTTTGGAATAGGGTAAGAATAAAACAAATGCTTATGTTTCACCTGCAGTTCCACATGTTTCTCGACAGTTTTGCCAAGACAGACTGATGGGACAGTTCAACAGTTTGGAATTATGTTCAGAGGGAAAGCAGCGCCCATCTGTCCCTGCAAAAACTACCAAGAATCTTGTGGCACTTTATAAGCTAAGCCAATGTGATGCCATCTAGATGTTTTTGGGGTTCCCATCCCAGCCAGTGGTCAGGAATGATGGAAATTGGGAGTCCAACAGCATTAGAAAATCACCAGGCGCCAGGCACATTTTGCACCTGGCTGAGCCTAGGGCTTGCCAATCGGAAGGTCGGAAGTTCGAATCCCTGCGACGGGGAGAGCTCCTGTTGTTCGGTCCCAGCTCCTGCCAAACTAGCAGTTCGAAAGCACGTGAAGTGCAAGTAGATAAATAGGTACCGCTCTGGCAGGAAGGTAAACGGCGTTTCCGTGCGCTGCTCTGGTTCGCCAGAAGCGGCTTAGTCATGCTGGTCACATGGCCCAGAAAAATTGTCTGCAGACAAATGCTGGCTCCCTCAGCCAGTGAAGTGAGATGAGCGCCACAACCCCAGAGTCGTTCACGACTGGACTTAACTGTCAGGGGTCCTTTACCTTTATCAACCACTTGATGCCAAGCAAAGATGCCCAGGGACCAGAACGGCACCCAATGTCTCCACCATCTGGAGGTGCTTGCCTGGGAAGCTTGGGATCGTGACTGTTTTCACACACTAGCAGCACATTAGATACATTAGAATTTGGCTTGGGGTAGTAAACCAATCCTTTATTTTTTAAGCTTCTGTTTAGGAAGGTTAATGAACATCTAGCCATTTCCTAACAGAGTTTTTTAAAAAATATATAAGTGGCCAAGGGTTACAAACGGTCCCATTTAAGGTCAATTATATGTATATTATATATTTCTGAAGTGCCTACCAATGAAAGTTAATGCATTCAGGTATTTTTGAGAAATCGCACAAGCAACAGAGCGACGTGATTAAAATGCATTAGACTGAGAAAGACATGTCAGTGCAAAACTATATTGGTTCTACAAAATATGCTATTTGAAATTAAAATACATTAATCTACATAAAAATACATCAAACTAGTCCCACTAATACTTCTATTTCAGCTGCAAGATAAAAACAGCATCAATCTTGTATGCCTCAAACCATTCACCTCAATATATACATTCGATTAACCTTGAAAATTAAGATTCTTCTTTAACACAAAGTAAATAATTCAGTTACCTACTCTGCAGGAAGTGTGGAGAATGGCTGAACAGAAATGTATACATGTATCAGTAGGCATAAGGACGAATTTTAATTTTTGTTTGCTTTTTGATAATAATCTACCTCATTTGCAGTTATTGAACCAATATGTGAACTGAAACACCTCTATCCTTTGAAATTCACACTTTTCCAAATTTTGCAATGCAGTTTTCCTACCATACATATGCATGCATTTCCTACCAGAAAATGCATATATTAGGGGGAAATGTGCAAATATTGGTGTGCATATATTGGTGGAAATAATATAGAAAAATGCATTATATATATATTGGAGAAAATTGCTTGCAAAAATACCATATGTTAATCAAAATTGCATACAAAGATATGTGTACTGGGTAAAATTTGCACTGAAATACTGTTGAATTTTCATTGGGGTAGGGGCTTGGGGGGGACCACAGATTGCTGCAGAAATGTAGAACACTGTGTTTAAGACTGGAAACATGACAACTTAAGAGAACTAAAACTAGCAGATTTGTACACCCCTATATACCAGCCCCTGTGCAGAAAATCACTGAGAGAGGATCTGCAACTTGACACATTTCCCCCCCTCCTAAAGAATCATGGGAACTGTAGTTTACCCCTCACAGAGTTGCAATACAGTCGTACCTTGGAAGTCGAACGGAATCTGTTCTGGAAGTCCGTTCGACTTCCAAAACATTAAGAAACCAAGTGCAGCTTCTGATTGGCTGCAGGAAGCTCCAGCAGCCAATCGGAAGCCGCAGAAGCCCCATCGGACATTTGGCTTCCAAAAATATTTTGCAGATCAGAACAGTCACTTCCAGGTTTGCGGTGTTCGGGAGCCAAAACATTAGAGAACTAAGCTGTTCAAAAACCAAGGTTCTTCTTTTCTTTACCAAAACCAGACTACTGCCCATACCATCACGAACATTACAGTGGTACCTTGGCTTAAGAACTTAATACGTTCCGGAGGTCCGTTCTTAACCTGAAACTGTTCTTACCCTGAAGCACCACTTTAGCTAATGGGGCCTCCTGCTGCCGCCGCGCCGCCGGAGCACGATTTCTGTTCTCATCCTGAAGCAAAGTTCTTAACCTGAAGTACTTTTTCTGGGTTAGCAGAGTCTGTAACCTGAAGCGTCTGCAACCTGAAGCGTCTGTAACCTGAGGTACCACTGTATGCTCTATGGGATGGTGTGCTTTCTGGACTCAGGACGGTGCAGAGTCAGTGCAAGCATGACTACCTAGAAGTGTTCAAAGTGGAAATGTAGAGTGAAGCATACCAGAATTTGTCATCACTGCCTGGTTCTGAAGTCCAACCAGTGGAGAGAGACTCTTTGTTTAGGCAGCTGATAAAACCTGGACTGGAATTCCTCCAGATTCTGATGCAATAAAACTAAAACGCTGTATCAAAGCAGGCCTTGCAAACATTACACATAGGGGAGCTTTTTTCCTCCAAATCTCAGTTTTAGCATCAACTCCATCATTAGTTTTTTCCCCTTTCCTAATTTTAATATGATCCGCGTTGATGTCTTTTTGTACTTCCTGTGTTCTTTTCTTTGTCCCTGTGATTGTCTTGAATTCTTTTTTAATGAGTCCCCTATCTTGCAAATGGCTTTTTAAAAGCCTTGTGTGTGTGTACATATATTTACTCCATTTATCTGTCATCCACACGCTTCTCATTTGGCTCCCCTACTGCTCATGGCTTTCTATTTTCCTTTTACCTCCCTGTATGTTTCCTTGGCTATTCATTTTCCTCATTTCCGTCTTCAGAAATAAGCGTTTCATCCCTTTCGAGATCCTTCTTCATTCCGCTTTCATTCAAAAGTCGTTTATAATCTGGCAGCGGAGGTGCTTTCACAGCAGGGTTTCTCCTTTGCCCTTTCTTTCCTCAGATGCCGAGTTTTGAAACCATTTACTTCTAACTCCCAATACGTCCGCTGCAAATAATTGCTGTGCCTCCTTTCCTTATCCTTTTTCTGTTTTCTGCACTAGTGAGCTTTTCCAACCCCTCTCTTATTCATGCAGGTGCTTATCAGTTTTTCACCATTTTTCTTCAAATATATATTTGTATCTATGTTTATAATGAAATGGAATAAAGAATTTTTTTAAAAAAAACCTCATAATAATAATAATAATAATAATAATAATATAATAATAATAATAATAATTTTTCTTTATACCCCGCCTTCCCCAGCCAAGGCCGGGCTCAGGGTGGCTAACAAGCAATAATAAAAACAAGTTGAATGAATACAACTTAAAAACAAGATTAAAATACAACATTAAAATATTGAAACAATAAAATATTAAAATGCAGCCTCATCACAGGAGGAGAAAGGAAAAAGGAAAAAGAAAGAGGAGGAGGGAATCAAGTTGGCTCCAAACCAAAGGCCAGGTGGAACAACTCTGTCTTACAGGCCCTGCAGAAAGAAATCAGATCCTGCAGGGCACTGGTCTCATGAGGCAGAGCGTTCCACCAGGCCGGAGCCAGTGTTGAAAAGGCCCTGGCTCTGGTTGAAGCTAATCTAACTTCCTTAGGGCCCAGGTCCACTAGGGTGTTGCTATTTACTGGGAGAGGCGGTCTACTTATTTCTCTGTTATTCTTACATAGGAGCATGAGAAGCTGAAAACGCTTCTGTATGCAAACCAGGAAGTGACTTCTCCAGGTGATTCTTCTTATCTCTGCAGCTGCAATCTTCTGGGTAATACAGACACCATTAGGCAGTTGAAGGTGCATGTGTACTCCGTCCCACTCTTCCTCCACGCAGCCCCGGGCACTGGCAACCCATGTTACGCCACTGGCATTGTCCATACTGACTGACCGGGTTTCTGACAGGGTTCTCTCTGTGTCCTGCCTGGAGATGCCAAGGATTGAATCTGGAGCCTTCACCATCCAAAGCTGAGCTAGGGCCCTTCCCTTTCAAAGCACAAAATTCTCCACCTGCTTTCCAGGCATTTCTTGCTCACCCTTCACCACAGGTGATACAGAATGGCTTCCCTTAAGTGACAAGAGAGAGGCGATCCAATTGTGGGTTCTGCCTTGTGACATTCAGCAGGAGAAAGCGAGTGGACTGTAGCCCAAGTTAAACAAGATGCAGTTGCCAAGAATAACATCCAACACTACAAGCACACACTCCTCGAGTCCTGAGCTGTTTGAACAGCTGCCTTTGTTTAGTAGATTGTTTCAGTGCAGTATGGTTTATTGTGAAATATATGCACACAAACAATGGCATAGACAGCACACACACACATACACAGAGGATTATGACTGCAGTGGTGACATGACAGACATGTGTTTCGCCAGGAAAATAATGAAGAGGCTCCTGGCCAGCTTGGATCAGGTTCCCCCAGCAGCACTGCAGTTAGCATGCTTTGTGTTCAATGAATATTCCTGGCCCCAAAAGCAATAAGTGAAGTATATAAACAGTGTGATGCACCAACTTAGATCTCTGGGACCTGCCGTCATTTTGTTGCTCTGTCTCCCTACTATCTTAAGCACTAGCCGCACCATCTGTTAAATGCAGCTGGCCAGGACGAAGTCTGCTCCACCAGATAAAGCAGACGGTGGGGAAAACTAGGGCCCAGTTGAGGCAGAAGCATTTCCCAACCCCTTTGTGAAGGGGAAAGGCTATGGCAGAACATGTCAATGCTGACACAGAGGCCATTTGCCTTCACACTCATGGGGCAAAGGAGGCTGGTGGAAACCATAGAAAGGAAGGACAAACCCTTTTCTCCCAGAAATGAAAGCTGGGTTTTGAAATATCTCTCTCTTGCGCACGCGCACACGCACACACTGTCTCTTAGTCCAAGGGTGGGGAACCTCTGGCACCCCAGCCCACTGGGAAAGGCTTTCAAACCACTGCTCAAGACAGTGCTTTGAAAGGGGCTTCTGTTGACCCCTGCCGGCAGAAATAAAGGCCACCGGACATGATGTCAGGTGATTGACAGGTGGGCCTACGGACCAGTTCCAGGTTCCCCCACCCCCCGACCCTCGCTTTGTTGGTAGTAACGGATTTAATATCCAACAATACTTCCTCCTTTCCTCAATATATTTAAGTTTCTGAAAGGTTAGGGGGGTGGAAATATGCTAAGACTTTTAAAAAGAAAACTCCTTAGAATGCAAATGATGTAGGAAATGATGAATGCAGCCTTCTCAGCCTACTTCATAGCTTGGATGATAAAGCTGTAACAATATTTATCTTTGGAGAAGTGGAGTCATTTTCAGTGCGCTGTTTTATCCATTACTTGCCTTTGTTCTTCCCTGAGCAATCACAGAAAATATAAAGTCTTGAACTATGCCTGTAATTCGAGAGCCATCCATAGAAGCACAATCAACACTGTGGAAGGCCGCAAATCACTCAGGACACGAAATGAGTGAATAAAGCAGGGAGGAGAAACTTTCCCCAATGGACAGTCTTCCGGGGGGCGGGGGGCATGTTATGGCTATGGCTATGACCTGAACTTTGTACAGCAGGCTACATTCCAGAGGCACCTACAACACCCACAACCTCAAACCCCACCATTGTCTAACCAGACCAAAAGCAAGAGGCCTTGTCACACTTCGAGGAGACATTCAAGCTGGGCCAAATGCACTCAAGGAGGTTGTGGAACAGGGCTAGTGAGGGCTATTTATCGGCTTTCTTCATTCGTACGGTGATCATGCTGAGATAGACTAGGTAGAGTTGCCATATTTCAAAAGGTAAAAATCCAGACGCAGAAGTTGCTGCAAAATTTGCCAAAATCTACACTTTCAACATACGTCCGGATTTTCAGAGGCATTGAACGATTTCTACCCAGACACTGTTTCTGACGGCCGAATCCCGGCTATGTCCAGGAAATTCCAGACACATGGCAACCCTAAGGTAGGGGCTTTGTTTGGAATTAGCGCATGGTCATTCTTGGTTCTCAGCAGTTTGCCTCTATGACAGTTGTGTCGTATTTGTTTACAAATAATCTTTATTAATTAATCCTATTTACTTCTTTCTTGCATTCATACCCACCTCTTTCTCCAAGAAGCTCAAGGTGTAATACATGGTTCTCGCTCTCCTAATTTATTTCCACAACAACCCTGTGAGGTAGGTTAGTCTGAGAGGCAGTGACTGGCCCAAGGTCACCCAGTGAGCTTCATGGCTGAGCGAGGATTTGAACCTGTCAGGGAACTGCCATCAACTCAGAGGCGAGAGATAGAGGGGGAGTTGTATTACAGGGAGCCTCCGAAAATCTGAAAATCTTGCGAAGCCGTTCCTCTTCCGGCGAGGAGGAAAGCCCCACCTCCAGTGGAGAAGAGGTGCAGGGACCAGAGGATGCTAGAAAGAGCCTTAACACCGCACCTGAGCAAGCCGGAGAGGAGGGAAGCACTGCCAGAACCTTTTCTACTGTTTGCTGTAAGTCACATTGATGCCTTCTGGCAAACAAACACTATAGAAAGGGCTTTTTTATAGAAAAAGGGGTGTCGGGACTTTGCAGGGAGCGTCCACCCAAAGTTGTTGAGCTTTCTTTAGGGGGGGCAAGACTTCTCTTCTTCACCGGCTCACCCTGCCCGCATTGCACAGCCCTGAGTGGGGACAGCACCACAACACTACGGGGCTGCCACAACACACAAAATAAGTGCTGGAACACAGTTCTGGTGAGTTCCGGCTTTTCCCTGACTATAGAAGCCTGGAGATCTGTCTTGCTCCCACCCTTGGTATAAAGGGTGTGGGAATAATTGCGTGGCCCATCTTTACAATAAAACAGTGCACCTTCTTTCTATTATGTCACAGAATAAAAGCTCAATTCTTGTATCACTCAACGAAGCTGGCATGAAACTAACAGGATCGGTCATTCTGCCCCTGTATTGATTCCCTCCAAATATCACCAAAATGGCACAGGAAGCAGACATACTAATTAGGCCTTAGTGGACAGTTGTACCTGCTCACATACAAGGAAACTGCCTTACACTGAGTCAGACCACTGATTCATCAAGCTCAGTACTGTCTACACTGACTGACAGCAGCTCTCCACAGTTTCAGGCATGGACTCTCAGCCCTACCTGGAGATGCCAGGGACTTTCTGAGTCCTGCGAAAATGAAGGGTGCTTCAGAGTCCATAACTTAAGGGCCAATGATACCATAGAGTGTTGGTATTTAGATGTGAGAAACCCAGCTGCAAATCCACTTTGATCTCCATAACTCACGATGAAAGTCACACAGCCAGCATAATATACAAATTATATGTTGGCATCAATCATCCTCCAAGTGGAAAAGCCCAGCTGTTAAGAGTTGAATGGAAATTTTTCTGCTTTTACTAGAGATGTCAGCCAGAGGCATTCCACTGTCAGATGTCAGACCAGAGGGCATTTTAAGAGGTTCACAGATATATGCCATAGCTCGGGGGTCACCAACGCGGTGCCTGCAGATGCCCCCAAGCACACCTTAGCCACCCACAAAACTACTCCGTGACTACAACTGAAAGTAACCAATAGCCACATTTGAAAACCTAGCTAGAAACCAGGCCAAAACATATTAATTGTGCTAAAACATATCAAAAGCTAAAATTAAGTCAAAGACTCATTTGGAATGCAGTCAGAGTCACCATTTGAAATTTGGAAAGAGCTTTTACGTTCATTAGCAAAAGAGGAATAGAGAAAGACGGTAATATTTTGGGATGGAATGTTTTCCCATTGTTATACATGCTGCTTAAAAGCATAATATTTTTCTAAGTGCCAATTATTGCTGTATGTTCCCATTAAAAGGCAATAAAAACACAAGAAAGCACTAAGTTAATGATACAGGAGTGCTTCGTTCCACCATGGGGAGGAAGGGAAAGGAACCCAGACATATAACCCCAGCATCGAACAATGGTGCCATTTTCCAAATATACATAGCACAGAAAACAATACGAATGAGTGAACTTGAGACAAAACTATGCAGAAACTCCCCTACTGGAGTTAAGACTGTGCTGAAGCAACAAAATACAGGATCACAGTAGCACCATAGTGTACATGCAGGAATTCAAAAATCTCCCTCTAGAACAGGTGTGGAGAATCTTTGAACCTCTAGGTGTTACCAGACTACAACTTCCATCGGTCCCAACAAGCATGGCCAATGGCAGGGGAATAATGGGAGATGAAGTCCAGCAACACCTGGAGGGCCAAAGATCCTCCACATCTACTCTAGAGGCCCACTTTGTCTAACAGAGTGCCGTCCCAGAGCCCAACTACAGGGGCCACTTTTGGAGGGATGTAGGGAGATACTACTGTAAGCAGGGAGCAAAGAAGTGGACAGTGTTAGAAACTCAGGTATATAATCTAATCGCTAAATGGCACCTTAAACCTGGGTTACAGGTGGCGTTGTGGCCTAAACTACTGAGCCGCTTAGACTTGCTGATCAGAAGGTTGGCAGTTTGAATCTGCACAACAGAGTGAGCTCCCGTTGCTCTTTCCCAGCTCCTGCCCACCTAGTAGTTCAAAAGCACAACAGTGCAAGTAGATAAATAGGTACCGTTGTGGCGGGTAGGTAAAGGGCATTTGTGTGCGCTCTGGTTTCCAGCCCTGTGTTCCGTTGCACCAGAAGCAGTTTAGCCATGCTGGCCACATGACCTGGAAAGCTGTCTGTGGACAAACGCCAGCTCCCTCGGCCTGAAAGCAAGATGAGCACTGCAACCCCATAGTCGCCTTTGACTGGACTTAACCTTCCAGGGGTCCTTTACCTTTACCTTTGGTCGTCTTTACCTTTACCTTTCCCAGCCGCCAATCTAGCATCTAGAGATCTCCACATGGTTGCAACTGGACCCGCACTAGTTGCAAAACACACCTGGCGCCTGGCTAATTTCTAACACTGGGCCTTTGGAGACTGCCTGGGAACCTTATGTCTTAACTGCCATAATTGAATGAACTGGGGTGGGTAGAGAAAAAGAAGGAATAAAAATTAAGCTACCAACTTTAGATCAAAGACATCAGTACTACCAAAAAAAAAAAAAAAGCTATTAAAGTCACAGGTAGTTTCTTTGGGTTGGGCCTGGCAACCCAGTAAATTGTTGAACCTTTAACTCTTAACCATTTTTCTCTTTTAAACAACAATACTTCAACACACATCCCTTTGTTTTTGTTTCCTGATGAATAATATCCCCCAGACCGGTGGAATGATACATCTCCATAATCTTACAGGATGTTTCTCCCATGCTAGAAATAATTTATTACTTTTAAAACAACCCACTGACATGTTTAATTTAAAAATATTTAATTGCTGACTGGAAATAGAGGCACAACTAGTCTCTCATCGGTACTATAACTTGGCTTTCTGTACTCCTACACAAATGTTAAAACTGTTTTGTTACCCTTCTTCTCAGTGTAAAGAACAGTGAAAGAAAATGGGGCTGGGGAAAATCATTCCCTGTTAAATCACCTAAAGATTTTCTAGAATCGATCTTCACAGTTACAGCCTGGAGTTGATAAACTGAGTTTTTGGATACTTTCATAAAGAAGCCGGCTAAGGGGTATGTATCTCAGGAGAGGGGCGTGTTGTTGTTTTTCCTTTCATCATAGCACTAAGGAATATAGCAGCCAAGTCTTTTAAAACAAAATAAAATCAGAGTAAGAGAAATGCCATGGGGTCAAATTAGACAGGGCATAAAATGCATCATGCGGGCTTTTAAAAATGCAGACTGCAAAACTGGGAGAAGGCTGATAGTTACTGAAATATCATTAATTATGTTTCTACATCAGTCATTGCAATTCACTTTTTTTAAATACAGTGGTACCTTGGTTTGCAACCGCTTTGGATTACAACGGTTTTGGATTACAACCACATCAAACCCGGAAGTGCGTGTCCCCTTTTTTTGGATTACAACCCATTTTTTTGGATTTTTTGGATTAATTTTTTGGGGGGGAGGCCCCACTGGTGAAAGCATGCCTTGGGTTACAACCTGTTTTGGTTTACAACCAGATCTCTGGAACGGATTATGGTTGTAAACCAAGGTACCACTGTATATATAAAAAAATATGCACATCAAATGCAAATGTGAATGTAGTCTCTGGTCTAGTTAGGTGCCAGATTGCCTGTGCAATTTATGAGGGATTTTGGAAAGAAAAAAAATCCTTTATTTTGAATGGGCAGCAGAGCTAAGACTGCCCTGGGGGGGGGGGGAGACACATCCAAAGCTGCTGGGCTTTTATTGCAGCCAATGTGTCCTAGCCTGACAACAAAGGAGAACAACAAATGTGGCAGGAATTAGGCAAACTCCCAAGGGAGGTGTGGGGCCATTCCAAGAAACATCCTTAGTTAAGCTTGGCTTTGTGAAATGGCAAGTTCTGAGGAACGTTTAGGCTCCTTTAAAATACCCATGGACCACCGCGACCGTGGGTGACATGAGCTGTGCCTTTCAACTGGTGCAAGTATCCCAAGTCCCACATCCGTGGTGAAAGGGTGTGGTGTAGTCAGGGACAAAGCTCTTGCAAAAGGTTTACAAAGAGCCATTATAAGTCTTGCTGAAAACGCCACTCTAGAAACCGTAACAGCATCCCCATTGTGGAAGCTGTAGTGTGTTATAAGGCCATTGCTGAGAGAAGTCAGGAGACCCCTTTTCCCTTTTCCAGAGCTACAATTCCCAGAGTTCCCTGTGGTGATTAAACCACTGTAGCTCTGGGAGGGGAACAGGAGCCTCCTAACAACTCTAAGCACCCTTAACCAACTACAGCTCCCAGGATTCTTTGGGGGAAGCCATGACTGTTTAAAATGGCATTGTAGTGCTTTAAATGTCCTCTGTGAATGTGGCCAAAACGTGTGTGGATAAGAGAGTAAAGGAGAGAAAGCTGTCAGGTCTCAGGCCTTTTGAGTGAGCCCAGCCTTTGGATTGGAAGCAAGCCTGTATTATGAACTCTGTGAAGAAAGGCTGCAGCACTATCTAGCGGTGAGATGTTTTTAATGTTGGTTGACCCTTGTGCTACAGAGGCCTGACTGGGCTCAACCAGAAGTCAAGCACTGATAGCTGTGCTCTCATTATCCAGCCACTATTCTGTACTTGGCTCTGGTTGGTGGACCTCGGGATTCTAGTAAACATCAAAACAGATCTCACAAGCCTGAAGACTCCCTTCACTGTACCCGATACACAGAAATGAAGCAGCCCCATTTGACCACTGATTAAAAGAAAGAAAATTCCTGTACGTAGTAGGATAACCAGACCCTCCAAGGATCATTCCACACAAACTATGCATGGTGTGCCATTTAAGCAAAGAATGTACTGGAACAAAGTATGCAGGACTAAAATGGCACAGACAGTCCCAGGAAACTCAAATGAGCTCTGGATAAAAGCTTCCCTTGGCCTCCTAAAAAACAACAACAACAACAACATCCACCATATTCCACTTCATGGTTACTAGCCAATCCGATCTGAGAGAAAAGACTTTTCCCAACTGCATCTACATTTATGGATTAAATTACATTTCAATGCACTTAATATTGATGATACAGTGTCTATTATGTGCAGCCTTGATGGAGATTTTGGCCAAGGACAGCTAGAAAAGATCTAGATTCTCAGAATGATTAACTTTGCCAATTTAAGTGCATGAACCCTCAGTCCTTTTTCAGAAGCTTACATCCACATGCAGCATCCTAAAATAATTAGTTTTATTTTCAAGAGGTTTATGGCTCCAGTCAAACACAGAGAAGATCACTGAGGAACACTAGGCTAAAGTGCTCTTCATTGTGCTGGACTGTGGTCTTGTTCCAGAACATTCTGCAACAAGCTCAACCAAGTAATCAGAGCAACTGAAACTTGACAATAAAATAATATAATATTCTCTGTGCTGAGCCTTCTCCGAGCACAGTGACCTGTGAGATGTTTTTAACTTACTCTTTTCTTGGGAGTATCTTGCAAGAACATAAACCTCAATCTAAGGGATGTGGGGAGCTTTGTCAATGGTGTGAATTCTGCAGCCCTTTCCTATCGGTCCCGTAACTTTCAAACAAGTTGGGACATCTTCATATCAATACGTACACAAAGGGCAGAGACGTGTTATAAAGTAATCATTGCTGGGAAATATCATGACCTTTCGGAGAGATAAGTGAAACCGTGGGTTGCAGCATTTCCTGCCGAGCGAAATGCCTTGGCCTCAGTTTATGAAGTGTTTGCGACTATTTTTAAGCACTGAAGAAACTTAGCAATTTGTTATAGTGAGTGCTCTCGCTGCGTGGCTTGCAAGAAGGATTAAGCAAGGTGATAGTTTCATGAGCCAACTGCTGGATAGGAATCTGCAGTGCTTTCAAGTTTCATAGCAATCTTTCAGAATGAAGAATCCAGGCATTGCAGAAGATGATCACTGAAGTGTATGCTCATGCTTATGCTTCTTCTTCCTCTTCTTCTTCTTCTTGAAGAGCTAACTGCAGTTTTTATGCTTCAGCTCCCTCCCTCCCTCCTAATGAAATCGAGTTCGAAATGCTAGTTCTTAGCATGCTTGCGAGTAAGTGCATTTAAACATCTGTACATTTAAGCACTGTTGTCTCTCTTTTGGCTTCATTTATTTAAAAAGCGGGGAGAGGAAGAGATACAGATTTGTACAGGTATAATTTAATACCAGAAGACATGTGCAGAAGAAACTAATGTGACACACCGGATCTGGAAAGAGTGGTTTTCTTTTCTCACTTTCAAGCTACCAAGGGAAAGGGAACGGCCCCTACACAGTTATTTAAAGGAGGATGCTGACAAATTATTGTTGCTGCTGCAACCCCTCAGAGATCAAGCAGAGTGGCGCGTCCCCCTTCTATCTACAACAACAAGGTATCACATAAGCGTATCCCAAGGTTACCTTGACCCAGTCGTTGTGGCCTGTTTATTATCTAGGACTCTCTCTGCTGAGGCCAGCAGTGAAAAGTAGCTGAAATGTGGCCTGATTTAAGAGAAGCATGACTAAGAGATACGGCTTGCGTAAAGTTACCTCAGGCAGCTGCATAACACAGAGCTCTGTTTGGAACAACATGAAACAGAAAACAGCAATATTTGCTGTGGCTGTCTCCCTTTCTCGATAAGGATACGCTCCTGTCTCCATCCTCCAAATGGCTTTCTTTCTGGCCATAAATGGCCCATTTTGGAATAACCAGTAAACTGCTCCTTCAGGTTACAGACTCTGCTACCCAGAAATATTGCCTCAGGTTAAGAACTTTGCTTCAGGATGAGAACGGAAATCGTGCTCCAGCGGCACGGCAGCAGCAGGAGGCCCCATTAGCTAAAGTGGTGCTTCAGGCTAAGAACAGTTTCAGGTTAAGAACGGACCTCCGGAACGAAATAAGTACTTAACCCGAGGTACCACTGTAGTATCATATCACTATGAACAGTCTTTGGCTTCCTCCAAAGAATCCTGGGGACTGTAGTTTGTTAAGGGCGCTGAGAGCTGTTATGTGATTCCCCTATTCCCCTCACAGAGCTACAATTCCCAGAGAGGTTTAAAAATCAATCCCTCTTCACAGGAAACTGGGAATTGTAGCTCTGGCAGGGAAATAGGGGTCTCATAGCTATCCATCTCCTGCCATCCTAATATTGACTCTGGTTTGGGGAAGGTTTGCTTTCTAACTGCTGAGAAGACAGTGTGTCTGAACAAAAATACGTGCACTGTCTCACTCAGACACAATGTCCAGTTCACAGGAGTTGCAAAATCACTGTGTGTACCCGTTTTCAAGTACTGGTACTTTGCTTACTGTGGCAAACCCTCACCATGATCAACACCCGCCCGGAAACCTATGTCCCCACTGTGGAAGGACGTGTGGATCCAGAATTGGCCTCCACAGTCACTTACGGACTCATTGTTAAAACCGTGTTTATGGAAGACAATCTTACTCGGCTACGAGTGAACACCAAAGAGAGAGACGCTTGGGCAGCAATTTTCATTCTCTCGTGCACACGCCCTTTGTGGTATTAGGAAAAAAAATCAAGTAAGCTTTTGATAATCTGTTTGTATTGCAGCTAATACATAAAGATAGATACTGCACATGGTTTCAAAAAAATAGATTATGCAAACTCATAAGACATTTCTGTGGCAATCACTAATTAGTCAAGCTGATTATGGACGCAACCTCGTGCAGAGGCCATTTCTACATTTCCTTCATAGGCAGTTCATTCCCAAAAGGCCAACAGGGCTCTTGATTGTGTGTCATCTTTCTTTGAGTTGTCTCTGATGCAACTCTTTGCTAGTTACTGTTCTAACATCAACAACTGCCCTTCACTAGGCATGAAATATGCCTCTTCTGGGCACCGCCTGTTCCTCAGGGCAGAAATACAAAAATGGAGTCACCAACAAGCAACAAGCAACCAGAAACTGTTCAAACTGGGAAGGGCTGAAATAGCTCAAGAGGTGACCCAAAACAGGTCGACTCACAGGAAGGGATGGAGGGAGGAATTTGATTCCTAAAAAATGACCAAGGCCTACATTTCCCTGGAGTTAATGCCTTGTGAAAGCGGGATGTATTGTACGGCCTGTATTCATGTGCCCTTAGAGAATACCGTGTTTGTTTTGTAATTTTGCATGGTTTGTCATTCTGAAGAGTTCCCATAAAGTGGCCTATGACCTGTCAGGGCTTGTTTACCAGATTTGGCTCCCCACAATGCTCAGCACTTGCTGCCTTTTCTGTCAACACTCAGAAATTCCGGACCTGAATTACAGTGATACCTCAGGTTAAGTACTTAATTTGTTCTGGAGGTCCGTACTTAACCTGAAACTGTTCTTAACCTGAAGCACCACTTTGGCTAATGGGGCCTCCTACTGCCGCTGGGCCACTGGAGCACGATTTCTGTTCTTATCATGAAGCAAAGTTCTTAACCTGAAGCAATATTTCTGGGCTAGCAGGGTCCGTAACCTGAAGCGTATGTAACCCGAGGTACCACTGTACTCCCAAGAGAAGGGACGCAGAAGAAGGGGAAACATTATTCAGACACAACACTTTCATGCTGCTGCAAGGGCACGATGGAAGAGGGTGGACAAACACCCTGTCCCTTCAACAAACAAATAAATCAGGTTACGGCTCTGGTACGCATGCAACGGCATTGCTCCAAGGGCCAATTCACACACTGCCCCAGTCTGCATTTTCTAACAAAAGAGTGTGAAAGCAATTCTCAGGATGCTGCCTCCATGCACATATTTCACATGTCAAGGTCTACATTTGATTAGAGTGGTGGTTCTCAAGCTTTTTTCCCCTCTGGGCCACACTTTCAGAATAAAAATTTGCTCCCACTTCGCCGATTTTTTAATTGATACACTGGAAAACAAAAAGGAAACAACTTCTAGCAGTCTTTGATTTGTAACACAGAACACAGCTATTTTATACTAAGATCAAGGGACAGTCAGAAAGCATAAAACAATGCAGCTACATAATAACATGAATCATTCCCCAAATACAAATGAATCGCTTACATATGTACCTCAAGTAGGTATGCAAAATCAGTGAGAGGTGTGAGCTTGTAATATCATATGATGCTCTTGCTCTCGTTTTGAAAATTTATCTATCCATATTCTGCACACACAAAAACTTTGATACTATACTACCCTGAAATGTTTAAACATTTCTTTGATTGTCCTTGAATTTTCCTGCCACGCTTGTCATCCTCTCCTGCCACATCAGTGTGGTGCACAACACCCTTTGAGAACCACTGGATTAAAGACACAGCTGTAGGGAAAGTTTTTCTTCTCCTCCCCCCCCCCCCCCGCACACCACCATCCTTCATCCCTGCATGCACACACACACACACACACCCAAAACCTGGCTGATATTTGTAATTTTCCCCATAGGGAAAACTAGCAGCTTCAGAGACTGGAAAGTAATTTTGGATTGAGGAAATGGCACAGTGAGAAAGAGTGAAACATAATACGCCTTCTCCCAAAACACCCTGGCCTCAGTCAAATGCAAACACTTCTTACTTAGGGTGGCCATTTATGAATTGCCAAAATAAAAAAAAAGAGGATGATATTTGCATCTGCTAACTTACGCATATACACAATATTTTAGAAATAGCTACTATAATGCAAATGGAAACATAATCCACCTCATAATAAGGAAGACTGCTACCTGTTGTACAGGTGCAAACTAGTGATGGTCATCATCAAGGACCCTCCTCTTCCCTCTTATGGTGCTTTATCTCTAAACTGGATTTGGACCAAGTTACCCTTCAGACAAATACAGAGGACAATTCTCTGGGTGAAGGACACAGAACCACCCTAAGCTTGGATCCTAGAACAATAGGCAGGTAGGATCCTAGAATGCAACAACTGATTGGCTTGCAGGAGAAGACCAAGCAGGCTCCAGGAGGAAGTTAATTAGCCTATTAGGCTGGTAGGATCGTAGAACGCAACAACTGATTGGCCTGCAGGAGAAGACCAATCAGGCTACTGGAAGGAAGTAGAATCAGCCAATCAGACGGGACTCGTTGTGTAAATAATGTAAAGTCGTACCTCGGGTTGAATGTGCTTTGGGTTGAGGGCGTTCGAGTTGTGCTCCGCAGCAACCCGGAAGTAACAGAGTGCATTACTTCCGGGTTTCGCCGCTTGCGCATGCGCAGACGCTCAAAATGACATCACGCGCATGTGAAGAAGCAGCGAAAAGTGACGCGTGTGTGCACAGACGTGCCATCACTAGTTACGTTTGCTTCTAGATGTGAACGGGACTCCGGAACGGATCCCGTTCGTATCTAGAGGTACCACTGTATATAAAAGCCTGCGGTTTGGGGGAAAATTCAATCACTGTTTTACAAGCTGCAATAAAGAGCATGAAATCACTGCAGGACTCTGAGTAAATTTCATCTTATCTGCTAAAAGCCTTGGAAAAGGTCAAAAGAACCAACCACTGGTCTCACCTGTGGTTCATCCTTTAGGATGAACGGGGTCCAGAAACGCACTAACACATTTTTGTACCTGAAATTTTAGAAAATAAAATCTAGATGCCATTCTTCCATGTCAGTAAAGATCATAAACTAATTAGGTCAAGCTTGCCAAAGCAATAGAACAGCCTTTCTCAACCTCAGGTCCCCAGATGTTGTTGGACTACAATTCCCATCACCTCTAGCGAGCGGGTCCAGTGGTCAGGGATGATGGGAGCTGTAGTCCAACAACATTTAGATGGGAACAACGTTGGCAACCCCTGCACTAAAATAAGGCAGGGAAATCAGTGTGGTAGGTTTTTGTTCCCTTGCTTGTTTGCTGGTTGTTGTTTTTTTCCAGGCATTGTAAGTTTTGTGGGCTTACTTACAAGGCTGCAATAGTCTGTTGTTGCTTTTCTTTTTTCTGGACTCACAAATATATTAGATTTACTGCAGGAGTTGGCAGTCCTAGAGGCTTTGCGTTTGTTCACTGTATATACAAATTGACCGTGCTCACATGGTGTGCCCACCTATCACGTGAAACCTTTCAATCACATGTGGAAAGCTTCTTGGGGAACTAGCATCTAAATATAAGGGGATATGAGTTCAAGGGTCTTCTCCACACCCCGTAGCAAAAAGAACACTCTGGGCTCTGAGGTTACTACCAGATAAGGAATAAGAAGAATATCCCTGCCAACCTGTAAGCAAGCAATCTGTGCAGTCTTAGAATGATAGATGCATCCATTCCAGATACCTAGAGGGCAATCTCTAACAGGCCTTTTAAAACTATTCACTGAATGCTGGAATGGTGCTACGATATGCAAAGCATGGACTTCCTTTTAGAGTCTCGGCCACCCCAGGGAAGATAATTCTAATAACAGGGATCTTAAATCCCACATCTGAATGATAAAACAGGCACATAAATGTTGACATGCTGATCCAAAGAGCCAGAAGTGGGTATATATTCAGGGACCTGTATTGTGAAAAATCGGAGCCCAGGGGTGGAAAAGACAAATTGTAGGCTGTCTTGCATCTGATATATGCCTTGTATGCCTCTAGCAAGACAGCCAAATTACCTAGCGATGCTTTAATAAAATATACGGCCACATTAGACTATTGCCCCTTCCCCCCACCCAGCCCTTCAGTATTCTTTCACTTGCTATGCACTGAAGTTCTTCCTCAATAAGCTACATATTATGCAAATCTATTTGGCGCCATTCTTCCCTCTCTAGTAAATAGGACCCCTTGCATTTTACGTATCAGCAAATGGCTTCACTTGGGAACATAGGTGATAACTATGCAGGGCCCTGGGTGCCCAGGCACCTACAAATTTTGAACGAAGGGGCTGCCTCCCCCCAAAGGTTCTATGCCACAGGACCTGCTGACATCACAAGTGCATGTGGCGGTGACATCAGCACACACTGGGCACCCACAGTTGCAGGGGGCAAGGCAGCGCGCCTGCTTGGGAAACATTATGATCCTTCAAAAAGAAAAGCTTTGCAAAACCCAAAGTCAAGATCCAAATCTGCAAAACCTAACCATGTGCATGTTTACTCATGTTTTACATATTGTAAAATTAATGAATCTTAGAAGGATGTTGGATAGAAACTAAGTGGTTTCCAGCTGTAATGCTTTAAGAGATATGAAAAAAGGTTCACAAATGGGTAAAAGCTTAATGGTAAGGATTTGCTGAACTAACAAACTGAACTGGAATACAAAAAAGGGAGGTACGAGGAGGTCCGGGGAAATAAGTGTAAGGAAGATATGCTATGGAAAATTAATGTGTTTTTAACTGTTTTTATTTTGTATGTTTTTTTTATTTTACATTTCTTTGTTATACCTTAAAAACTTTAATAAATATCTCTTAAAAAAACACAGAAGATCAATGGCATCTACAGCATGGTTAGGGAACCTAGATTCACAACATTCAACTGAACTTCTAAGTCAGGGTTTGCCAACCTGGTGCCCTCCAGATGTTTTGGCCTATACCTCCCATCAGCCCCAGCCAGCATGGTGGCCATGCTGACTGGGGTTAATGGGAGTTGTAGCTAGGGATTGGGGGGGTATCAATTATGTTTGCATTTTAATCAGAAACTGCTAGCAGTCACATTTCTCAAACCGATGAGCAAAACAAGCGCACCACTGTCCTCCAAAATTTACACTTCTCCATATTTTATGTTGCAGTTCTCCAATCAAACAATGTATACAAAAAAAATTGCCTCTGTTGGAAGAAAGCGTACATAAAAATATTTTCCTGGAAAATAAAATAAAATAATGCATTAAATTAAGGAGAACTGATGGAGCAAAAAAGGTACATATTAGTCCAAACTGCATACCCCAAAAAAATGTGTACGCATTGGGAGAGATTCACACCAAAACTGTTGATGAATCTTCTTTTGTTAAAAAAAAAAAAAAACTCAGCTTGATGTGAAAATGTGGAGAACTGAATTTCAGACTGGGAAATGGGATCCTGAGAAAGAAACAAAAACTGACAGATTCATTTATACCCATCCACAAATTTCAATACCTCAAAGACCATCTCTCCACATATGAACTGACTCAAACCCTGCGATCATCATTTGAGGCCCTTTTTCATGCGCCCCTTCATGAGAGGCCTGGAGGGTGGCACCACGAGAATGGGCCTTTTCTGCTGTGGTTCCCCATTTGTGGTATGCTTTCCCCAGAGAAGCTCACCTAAATATGTTTGTGGGAAGAGGGTTATTGGTTTGCTTTATGTTTTATTTCGCCTTCACATTTTGTATTATGTTGTGAACCATTCTGTGAAGGACAGTATACAAACTTAATACTTAATATATAATTTGTAAACGCATCTGGGTTGGCAAAGGCTGATCTGCGCATTAGCACAAAGTTGTCACTTATGTGAGACGCAAGCTTTGTAAGCAAGCAAACTATGATTATTTATACAGCACCATCCATCTGCTATGTACATAAACTGCTATGTACTACTGAATTTCACATACACCTCCCCTCCCCAAATGTCCCATTTGTTTCGGGGGCAGTGGGGGAGGTAAGAGGGATAAATGTTAAGTTTCTTCTCTCCTGTTCCCAGTTGCCCTTTTTGTTATGACTTCCAAGCACAATTAATCAGAAGTGTGATCTTTTCAGGTGGATACATACACAATCTCTTTGCTGGGGTGTGGGAGTAGGTGCAGGTCAAGTGGAAGTGCAAGGAAATGGGTGGCAGCAGGGCATAGCAGCAAACAGAGGAAAACGCTCCAAAGTGATGTTGTGAATGGAGCCGCCAAAATACATCTGTGTGTCACGAAAGGTGAGGGAAGAGAAGCCCCAGATTAAACATGTCCTTTGTTTGTATTTTCTTCTTCCTGCCTCGCTAACAGCTGCCTCTTGCTCTCCAGCAGATGTATAAGCCACAAGAGGCCATGAGTGCCTTTGGTCCAAGAATATGCTGTTGTTGTCGCTTTTATAAAGAAAACCAGAAAACAGGATACCCAGGAACAGGAGTTATATTTCAGAATAGCTATGGTTTGAAATGAACAGCTTCACGTTCCATTTTTTTCCCCCACCAGTCAGTACGTAAATTCAGATTTCCTTTGAAGACTGAAAAATGTGGGGTGCCAAAGTGTTTGGCTCTGCCCTATGAAAACCCCCAGTGTATAGGCAGTGCTATGGGGCCATATCAACCCTTCACTGGTTATGTGAAATGTTTCCAACTTTTGCATTCGCTGGATTCAAATCATGCATCTATAAAGTGCGCTTTAATCAATCTTTTAAATCCATCAATGTAATTAAAATAGTTAATTAGTAGGCAAGCAACATTTAGTCCATCAATCAATTTTTGATAATTACTAAGGTGTCTCGGTCAGCAGAGGCATACCTAAGGGTTGGTGAAACAGGCCCAGGAGGTCACAAAAATAATATGTCAGACTATGGAGAATAATAATAATAATAATAATTTATTTATACCCCACCCATCTGGCTGGGTTTCCCCAGCCACTCTGGGTGGCTTCCAACAAAATATTAAAAACACAATAAAACATTAAACATTAAAAACCTCCCTAAACAGGGCTGCCTTCATATGTCTTCTATAAGTCAGATAGTTGTTTACTTCCTTGACATCTGATGGGAGGGCGTTCCACAGGACGGGCGCCACTACCGAGAAGGCCCTCTGCCTGGTTAGTAATGTGAGTTTTCCAGAAAATTTGGAATTGCAAATTAGTGAAATTTGCATTGGGCTATTTCCCATCGGCAAGTTTTCAGTTTGCATTGGATAACATTCTGATGCCCTAGAGTAAACTAATTTAGCATGCTTAAAGGTAAACACTTTGAAACTGCCAAGCTGGCCTCAGACTGGATATGAAACTGGCATATATTTGTTGTTACAAACCTATGGAACAGAAAATTTTCTGCGGGAAAGTTAGGCAGCAGGAAATTTTCCTCTATGCAGCACTTCCCAGTAGCAGCTGGTATGGAGGGAGCTGCCCTCTAAACCCCAGCCTTGCTATAGCTTAGCTTGATGAGGCTGGGGCAGGACAGGAGCAGGATCAGGGCTGGGCAGACACACCAGCAGGAGCGCCAGCCTTGACCTCACAACTGGCCTACTTCATCCCATCCCCATCCAAGGAAGCTGAAGACGCACACATGTTGGGAGGGCGGCTCCAAGGCTCTGCCCTACTACAGCAGCTGCTATTGGCACAACCTGCTGTTTGTCAAGCAGCTGCAGTTTGATTGGCCATGGAGACTATTGCTGTGTAGCAACCTCAAGCTCCTTTGGCAGCAGAATCTTTTTTCCGTCTGCTCATACTCCATTCTCACCGGATTCTGCCACTCCCCCCCCCCCCCAGCCCTCAGCCCCCTATTCCCAAAACTCTGACCTGCTTTCTAGTTCAGTCTCATTTCCCAGAAAACTGAATGCAACAACATGCTGTCTGGAATTCTGGCGGTTGTTTGCTTTGTCTGCGATTCTTCAGACATCATCTTCCAAAACCTGAAACGGGCCGGGGGCCTCGAGGTCATGTGGAATTTCCTTTAGGCTTTTCTTAATCCTGAGATTGGCTCTAGCCCAGGGCTCTGAAGCCCGAGCCCCACTGAAAGTAGCGGAGGAAAATTTGACCACCTGTGCGCTGGAGTAAACAAACCACAGGGGATTCATTTCTCCAGAATTACTCTTCTTTCGTGGAAGCAATTTTTATTTATGCAAAACGAAAAGTAATTGCACTATCAGCAATATGACATGTTCATTCCTTTCTACTTAATTAGGAGATGTTCTGTAGGTTCGCAGCTCTAGTTCAGCACAATAAAATTAAAAAGCCACTTTCCCCCCTACCGCTGTCCATGGCTTCAGCACAACCGATATATTTTGTTAGATTAAATGATAAACAAAAAAGCTGTTCTGACAATTGATAGGGGCTGCAGGATTGCACCCGTAAGCAGCGCCTTCCAATGTGTCCACTGGCCAGTGGCTATACCCTCAGCAGCTTGGCTTCAGCATGAAAGAGGCAATGTTCATGTAGAGATTTATGTGCTCAAAGCTTCTCCGTGGGACTGAGAAGGATCTGTGTACAGCTAACCTAATACTGAATGAGTTTAAAGTTTGTCTCATTCATGTTGATGTCAGTTCCACTGAATTCAGTCCAGATGAGCATTCACATACCGGAGAGAACAAGCATATAGAAGTCTTCCAGGGTTTCACTTGTCCTGATTTTTTTAAAGCAGCAAATACCTGCCTGCTATCCAAATCTGTTGTTCTCCCCGACTTTGCCTTCTTCCTCATGGCCAACATTTAGACTAAGCTCCTTTCGGGAGCAAGGATCCATCTCTTTCACTTAGGAAATAAAAACATACACATTGATTCTAATAATTAAATAAATATGACTAATGCACAAGCACAATATGGCTACCCACCCTCCAATCCATGTGTGTGTGCATGCACAGAATAGTACTAGATTGGGCCTAGGAGTAAGTATAGTGGAACCTCGGGTTACATACGCTTCAGGTTACAGACTCCGCTAACCCAGAAATAGTACCTCGGGTTAAGAACTTGGCTTCAGGATGAGAACAGAAATCGTGCTCCAGCGGCACGGCAGCAGCAGGAGGCCCCATTAGCTAAAGTGGTACCTCAGGTTAAGAACAGTTTCAGGTTAAGAACGGACCTCCAGAACGAATTAAGTACTTAACCCGAGGTACCACTGTATAAGGCTAAATAATAAATCTGGATTATTATTTTTAATAGTACAAAATAGCTTTGGATCCAGAACCAGATATTTCAAGGACCGCTTCTTCCTCCATGAACTGGCTCATCAATTGCATTCCACCATCAAGGCAAGTGTGATTGGCAGGGGCACAGTGCAGAGCCTTTTTGGTTGTGGCATCCTAACTATGAAGCTCTTTCTCAAGGGAGGTTTAACTGGCCCCTTCTCTGTTGTCCTTCAGGCATTGGATTAAGACTTTTATTTTTCTTCCACCAGACTTGCAATGATTATTTGCTTATGGTTTCCTTTATCTCTTTTAAAATGGGCTGTAAATGCTCTTTTTAATTGATGCTGATATTTTATTTTTGTAAGCTATTGTGAGGGCTTTTTCTATCGCCAAAATGTTGCAAGAGTAAAACCAAGCAAATCCTTACACTGGAAAGGAAGCAGTTCATGAGTCAACTGCAATTAGCCATTTACTATCAGCATAAGGGGAATAACCTAGAGACTTTTGCTTTGACACATTCCTACACAGCATCCTAGTATTAAAAGGTAACCCAATGCACCCAGGATGATTTGTAAACAAGTGCAGGTGTCAAAGATTTAGTAGCTCTTTAGGGAGTGCCACATGTTGCCTTCGTATAAATGGAGAAATAGTTCTAACAGCAGACTGCAGCCCCATGCAGAATTAGGCAGACTTAAGCCCACTGATTTAAGGGGCTTGGGAACACCTAATTGCATGATGGGGCTGACAGAAAGACCCTGTTTACTATAGCATTATGCAAAGTTGGGAGGCCAAAGGAGGCAGAGACAGGTAGAATCAACTAAAGGCTCACCCATACTGCAGTTTAAAGTGACTACTAAGCTTCCAGGACCTCCATTAATTCTCCCTTGTCTGTATGAGGTCCTCCTCCGGCAAAGCACTGCCTTTGCCCACAATTCCCCCTTTTCACATTCTGGATTTTCTCATACCAGGGATACTCCAGAAAGAAGAGGAAATCCAGATTGAGGGAGGGGAAAGTGTGAGAGGGCAGAGATTTGCTGGAGAACATCATATAGGCGACAGCAAATTAATGGAGGTATGGGAAGCTTGCTAGTCACATTAAACAGCAGTTTGTTTGGCCTGACTTTTTACACAGTGTATCTGTTCTTTTACTTCTCAGGTACGAAGATAAACAAAGCAAAAGTGACCCCTGCTGGAATGGTTGTAGAACCTGCCTTTCTGCTCCAGTCAGACAATTTACTACTTCATTCAGTTTTTAGAGCCTTGCCGTAATGCATCGGTTAACTTCGTTCAAGGTCCCTCCATCAGTTTTGGCAACTCAGTATCACAAAGCTGTGATTAGTCCTCATTCCTCAATAGGGGCAACTTTTTTAAAAATGGGAAACTTAAGATGCACTCAAGCAGAATCTCTAGCCATAATGTGAAGGGTGGGCTTTATTTAAAAGGTAGAAAAGCGACTAGGCACACAGATGCCTTAGACCGAAGGTTTCCTGCTTCTGGAAACAGAACAAATACTGTACCACAGCAGCCTGGTTCCAAGCCTTGTTTTATTCTAGATTAAATTCCTCCAGAGTGATTACTCTCAATTCAGTTTCTCCCTAACAAAGCTTGGAATCACCTCTCCACGTAAGACACACGGATAAAACCCACCTTGTGCAAATTTGTTACGGGTTTTGTTGCTCACCTCAAATGTTTCTGAGCAATTTCCTTCACAACTTACGCAGAAAACAAAGGTCAAGTGATCTTTAGTACAGCTTGCTGTTGCTAAAACAGACCAGAGCCACCAGTCGACATAAAAGCATGGGGAGACCGGTAAGAAATCCACTCTCTCTCAACATTCTTAAAACCACGTTGGTGAAATGTATATCAGAATTAAGGTCAGCAAGGAGAGTAAAGAATCTACTTCAAATCCCAAAATCCTCAGTATGGCAACACATGTTTTTTTTTATTAGGCCAACCAACATACCACAAAATAGTGATCAATTTTCTGAGTTCTTCAGAAAAGAACTCTCATCCTAAAGATGAAGCCTGCCATTATCCGAACTTAATCCACATTCCCGAGTGGATTAAGGAACAAACTCCTCTCTAACCCTCTCATAATATTCCTCCTCTACTCCGAATCGGAATTTCAGGGCATCTTCCCATCTGCTCGCCGATCCACGGGAAAAAACCGCGGCGTCTGAAGAGGCGACCTGATCTGCTGCTTCCCACACGGCAGCAGCCTCCTGAGGCGCTCGCGCGTGTGAACGCACCCGCCGGCCGTCCCGCGAGCAAGTTTTACAAACACACCCAGGATCCCCAGCCTGAGCTGCTTCGACGCGAAGCCCCCTCCCCGGTTCCCTCGACGGCGCGCCGCCCGCTGCTCGCTCACCTGTCGATGCTGATCACGCAGAGGGTCATGATGGAGGCGGTGCAGCACATCACGTCCATGGCGATGAAGACATTGCAGAAGACGCTGCCGAAGATCCACTCGCCGCCGATGAGGTCGGTGACGCTGACGAAGGGCATGACGGCCACGGCCACCGACAGGTCGGCCAGCGCCAGCGACACGATGAGATAGTTGGAGGGCTGCCGGAGCTTCTTGACGAAGCAGACGGAGATGACCACCAGGCAGTTGCCGGCGATGGTCAGCAGGGTGATGAGCGACAGCGCGGCCCCGATGACCACTTTCTCCACGTTGCCGTAGCTCAGGATCTGCTCCCCGCACTGCGTGTCGTTGTCCGCGAAGCCCGGGCTGGGGCTGCCGCTGCCGGCGCCGCTACCGCTGCCGCTGCCCGCATGGCCGCCTCCCCCGGGGCTGGCCGTGACCCCTTGCAAGAGCTTGCCGCCTATCCCTAAGCGGGGCGGGTGCAGCGAGCCCGAAATCATCGCCGCCGCCGGCGCCGCCGCCGCGCCGCCGGAGCCCAGCTGCCGGGGAGCGTGGGGCGCGAAGCAGCGCCGCGGGCTGGAGACGAGCGGGCAGCTGCCAGCGACGTGGACGGCGAGGACCATATTGAGGAGGGCTGCCCACCAAGCCAGCAGCAGCCAGCCCCCGCATGGCCGCCTCTCCGCGCCGCCGCGGCGACTCCCAGCGCTCTGGCGGCGGCGGCGAGGGGCTCCGCCTGCCCGGGCAGGGAGCTCTCCCTCTGCCTCGGCGCCAGCCACCCCCGCCGCGCGCCCCCTCCCGGGCTGGGATCCCGCCACCACCAGCACGATCCCCGCGCAGATCCCGCCGCCGCCGCCGCTGCCCCGGCGCGGAGGGCTCTAGCATAGTCCGCTCGGCTCCCGCTCGACGCCGAGGTCCGCCTCCGCAGGGGGCAGTGTGAGCCCCGACACAGCCCAGCCCATTGACTCAGCCGCAGGCGGGACGCGACAGCCCCACGCGAGCCGGTCGAGGTCCGGCCGGGAAGTTTCGAGGCAGCGACGGCGCTGCTGCAGCCCTCTGCGCAAGCAGCCAGCCGCGTCCCTCGACCGAGAGCACCGTCGGAGGCGTGGTCGTGGCGCGCGCTCTGGCCCCAGGGGCAGGGCTCCGTCGAAGGCAGGGCTGGCTGGCTGCCCCCACCCCTGAATAGATCTCGCGTGTCGCCGACGTTGCGCTCTAGGACACGTGCACCGACGGCACAGCGCGCTCCTGGGAACTCAGAGCGCCGTTCCGTCTCCGCGCCTGGTTCACGCGTTCGCGTGTCTGGATTCCACGCTGTGTATTGCAGGCGCTGCGGGGACTATTCACATGCGGCTAGGTGGGGCCGACTGCTGAGAAGATGTCACGCGATGCAGATGTGAAGTGATCCTGTCTTGGTGCCCACCCACCCCCCTTCCCCGCATGATTCCAGGGCTTTGGAAAGCAGGGCAGGCAGAAAACCAACAGGATGTGGTTATTCACACCACTGAATCTCCTCCCCAGATATTAGGCAAGGGTAACAGAAGGTGTGAGTTCCAGTGAGTGCTGTATTTTCCAGTCTTTTCCTTTAAAATTGCCCTCTGTGTGTGCCTAAATGGGCCAGCACCATCCCATTTTATTTTCTTCTAGCCTTCCATACTTCCATTAATTCTCCGTTGTCCATATGAGGTTCTCCTCCAAATTACTGCCTTCCCTCACCTTCCCTTCCTTCAGTCCAGGTTTTCCCATCTCCTTTTCCGCGTGTCCATGAAACACACAGAAATCCAGAATGAGGGAGAGAGAGAGAAAAATCCAGTTTGTTTGCCAGGAGATTGGACAATGTTTGCTATTTAATGAGCACTCACCCTGAACTTGCGGGTATGTGACTGAATCTCACCTGAAAATAGAAACTCTCTTAATTACCTTTGTGGTGATTCCGCTGCCTCAGCCCAGCACACACACACACCCTTCTCGCACCCCTGCCAGCTGCTGAAGACCAGGGTGCGAAGGAACTGGAAGTAAAGCACAATGAAGGCAGAGCAGTGCTGATTCACTGCAATAAGAAAAAGGAGAAACGGCGAGGCTATATTTGACAAGAGGCCTGCCGCTGGATGGACACAGCATTTTCAGAGGCAAAGCTGCTCGCATTGTTTGGAGGGTGGGAGCAAGATGGCTCCATTTCAGTTTAGGCCAGGTTCAGTGACCTCAAATAAAGAGTGTGGGGATCTTTCTTTTTTTATTTTAAGCCCAGCTGAAATGGGGTTGGGGTGGCATCCGAGCCTCAGAGCTGCTTTTGGGCCCCCTCCTGCAGTTTTTTATGTGAGTGTACGGACTTCAGTAATGCAGAATAGGAGGAAGTGGAAGGGAGGCATTCAGAATTCAAATGCGCTTTCTGGCTAATGGCAGTTTTAGATTCTCTTGTGTAAAGCTGCACAGATCATCTACGTGAGCCAGGAGTGCAGACCTAGAGCGATTAGGAAGAGAATGAAACGCCATTCAGAAGGTTCAGAGAACCTTTTCTCACATCACAACCAGCCAGCCTAGCTGGATCGGACCAAATCTAGTCCAGTGTTTCCCAAACTTGGGTCTCCAGCTGTTTTTGGACTACAACTCCCATCATCCCTAGCTAGCAGGACCAGTGGTCAGGGATGATGGGAATTGTAGTCCAAAAACAGCTGGAGACCCAAGTTTGGGAAACACTGACCTAATCCAATTGCCCTGTTCTTACCCATGGGAAGCCCCCCAAGCAGGACCTGAACGCAGATACCCATCTCCCCACTTGTGATTCCCAGCAACTGGTATAGGGAGGCAGGTTGCCTCCAGCAGCAACATCGACTATGCAGGCAGTGAGTGGGGATAGATCTGGGTTCAGACACTTCAGAAATCATTTAATCGTACAGATTTTATTAGTTATCTGTGCCACCAGATGACTCCGTTCACAGGGCTGCTTGCATCAAATGCATGAAGATAAAATTGCTCCAAGCACCTCTGCCAGCAGGGCCAAGAGGGAGGGAGGGGTGGGAGTTGGAGTCCAACTGGCCACAGGTTTCCCATCTGTTTGACATCTCAAATTAGGTGCTGCTGCCGTAGCAGAAAAGGGTTGCTTTTTCTGTTGAAAAGTGTGGCTTTCCTAAAGGAGCAGCGAGTGAGCTTCCTGCTCCGTGTTAAGCTGTAATAGAAATGGAATGTTACATCTATCTTCACCTGAATATCCCCTTTGCGCCTTTGCCTTGGGCTACTTCTGTGCTCTGTGTAGCAGCAAGGCATGTGGAAAGAGAGAGAATGAGAGAGAGAGAGAGAGAGAGAGAGAGAGAGAGAGAGAGACCCGCAGTTCCCTCTCTGCGGTCTGGCAGGGAACACCAAAACAGGCTGGCGCAAGGAAAGGCCATAGCTCAGTTGCAGAGCATCTGCCTTGCTTGCAGAAGGTCCAAACTTCAGTTCCCAGCATCTCCAGATAGGGCCAGGAATGACTCCCTCCCTGAAACCCCACAGAGCTGCTGCCACTCACTGTAGACAATAGTGAACTAGATGGACCAATGATTCTGACTTGGTATAAGGTAGTTTGCTGTCTTCCTTTTTAAGCTGTGCGCAGACAGTAAGCCCTCTAATTTCTGGAGTGCTTCTTTCTGAAAATTGGATAGGATTTTGTTTTGTTTTTTTTAAAATAATATTTATTGATAATTTCAAAATTACAAGAAAAATAAATAAAAAAACAACACTACAATACAAAAAAAGAAAAAAGAAAAAGAAGACATTAAAAAAAGAGAGAAAAGCACAAAATGTGAAAACCAATATGACAATACAGCAATAAAAAAGTAAAAAAGAAGAAAAAAAACGCAAATCCCAAATTGCATATCCATAATTTCCATTTGCTTGTTTCATTGACCTCCTCACACCTCCGTTTTTGTATTCTAGTTTAGTAATTATTTCAGCAAATTCTTTCCATCTTTCTCAATTTTTGTTATAAAATTTATCTTAACAATTTAACCTAATAATTAACTCAACAAATCCTTACCATCTTTCCCCATATTCTATTATTCAGATTACCTTAATTTATTTAACCTTATCTTACCCCTAAGTGCCTTAAGACTTAAATCTTAAATTTCAAATATACATAACTCCTAATATCATTTCTGCTAGAGTCGTATAGTTTCATTCCCACATTTTCCCTAATATTCATTAGCTGATTATAAAATAAAAGTTTCCATTATAAATTCTCTTCCAATCATCATCCAGCGTCTCTTCTTCCTGGTCTCGGGTCATGTCAGTCCTTATTGTCCATTCCGTCTAGTCCATCAACCTGGAAGCCTTATGTCTGAGGCCCTTAAATCTCTTCCATGTCCCTTCTGCAATTCTTCTTCATCTTGTTTGTGCTTGCCCTTTTCCTTGTCTCTTGTTGGTCTCTGTCTTAGTTTCTTTCCTTTCTCATTGAGGAGTAGGTCTCTGGGGGATTCCAACCCAAAATTGTCTCCATCACCCTTCATCCAGCTCACCCATTCCCTACAGTCCCACTCCCCACAGTCCTCGATATAATCCAAAATGAATTTAAAATCAAATTTCAAGATCTCTCCAAAGCTAGGACTCTCCTCATCTCCAGACTCCCCTTGGCCCACTCCAGCTTCAATCTTCAATAACAGCGGCTTATGCTCCTGTAGGGCCTCGGGTCTCTCGATTTGTACTATTTGGGGTGCAGCCACATCCTCCTCCATTGTCAACTGCACTTACCCAGTCGGTACAGATTGATAGGTTGGTTCTTGGATGATTTCTGTATCAATGTTATTAACCACAACAGTCAAATCCATTTTCTCATTCATCAAATCCATCTTTTCATGCATCTGTTCCAGCAGAGCATTTGTCTTGCATAGAGCAAGCAGCCAGTCTTTCTCCCAGCTCATCTTTGTTCAAGGTCGGAAAAGACTGTTCCCACAGTCTTAATCTCACAGATGTTGGGTCTCAAATATGCTGCAACAACAATTTAGCAAGCTCCCTCTAGAGGAGACAATCTACTTGTATCCATTTTTTTTTTAAAGACAAAGGAAAGTTACTTTCATTTTTCAGATATTTCAGACATTTTTCAGATATTTTGTTTCTTTAGGATGCAAAAGGCAACATTAGAATCAACTTGTTTCTCTTCATTGGCTATCTGTCAAAGTGTTACGTTCACAGTCAATGAACCTCAGCAACAGTTTCTGTCTCTGACACCCCGTTCCCAGGTTAGAGACGGTGGAAACTTATCCTTCTTCACTCCCTCTCCTGCTAGGGTTAAACAGAGTCCCCCCCCCTTTTCTCCTGCTTCCAAGGGGGGTTTCAGTGGTTCTAAATGAAGGAAATTTAGTCCTTTTTTAACAGCTTCCCAGCTTTAGCTTGCAAAATTTTTGCTTTAGTCTATATACAAAAAAGCGGAAGGCGGACTTCCTGTTTACACCTTTCTGCTTCGGTATCAAATTAAAGCAATTTCTTGATCCAATTTTCCGTTTCTACTCACAGGTACTTGGTTTAAGTCCAATTGTCCACAGGAAAAAGTCAGCGCTCTCTGGCAATGGCTGTGCGGCTTCACTCCGTGAAAGTAGCAGTCAGTTCGTAGCACCGCGCTTCTCACCCCACTTCGCTCCGGAGCCCCTAGATGGGATTCCCCGCGAGTAGGGGGGTGCTTCTGGTGCCCTGCCGAACCCCAAGTTCCCAGGCTTCCTCCGCCTGGCATTTCTAGCGGGTCCCCACCTTCGCCGCGGCGGGAAGACCCAGTTTTCACGGAGCCCGTTCCTCCAGTCGGAGGAACTCCGCCATTCACCAATGGCGCTGACCCGGAAGTCCTCAAAAATTGGATAGGATTTTGAAGGGTGCAAGAGAGAGAGAGATGGGAACTGTTTCTGAAAGGAAAAAAAGAGACAGA